TGCGTGGCGCGCTCTCCCCCCTGTATACACGGACGGCGATAGGCGTGACTCAATCCTCAAAGTCCCCCTGCCTTCTATGCTGGTCACCCGTCGCTCACCCTGGCTCAATGACCTCCTCCTCTCACCTCCGCCCCTCTGCGGCGAGCCCCCGTCCTCTCCCCTTCCTTGGCCCCGCCATCCGCCTTGCTCTTCCTCCTCCTCGTCGCGGCGCCGCATCGGTGTCAACGTCCCAAGCCTTACCGTATTCGGCATGGGACCCCGCGCTCGGCAGCAGGATCCCGGCCCCCGCACTCAAGCGCCGGGTCGGCCGACAAACGAACCGACGATGCTCTTGCTCTCTTTCTCTGTCTGTCTCCTCCCTTCCGTACGCTCGCTTCCTTCTTCTTCCTCCTCTGTCTCTCTTCTACTCCTCCTCCTCTTGTTTGTTTGTTGTCTTGCTCTTTCGTTCAGATGTTTCTTCTGTTGTGAGCAAGGTGCATCTCTTTCTTTTTATTTTCTTTCCGTTACACATGCCTACCTATCTATCAATTCTCTCTTACCTACGGTGCCCCCTTTGATCTTTCTAACCGTTCTGACAAAACACCAGGTTGTACAACACAACCTTCCACTTGTTGTTGCTGTTTTTGTTGCCACATGTGCACTTTGTTTTCCTCTCTGTTCTCCGGCCGTCGCTACACCTGTGTGTTCGTCCCATCTATTCTGGCGCCGGGTTACAGGCCATTCGGCGTATTTACCTGACGTGTCAGCCGGGGTCACACGGGAGTTTTTTTTTTCTTTCTTAATATGACACAACGAATTCATCTCTATCATTGACCGGTCGCCCCGGTGGTCTAGTAGGTAACCTCGGAACCTTCTAGAGGTCAGGTCAGGGGTTCCAATCCCGGCGTAATCGGGCTTTTCTTGCAAAGTGAGTTTTTCTCTCGCTTCCGCTCTTGGCTTACTTAGTGGATAGCGCTATTTAGTTCGTGTGTACACAGAGGGAAGAGAGTGCTGAACTCTTCTCGCATTAAAAATCGAAGGCAAAGTACCGCAGGAGGGGATGGTAGAGAGGGGCTTCTGTGTGACCACGGGTTGGAGCAAACGGCACTAGTTCTGTGAGCGCTGATTTGAAGTGAAGACAAAAAAAAAAAAAATGAAAAGAGTCAGAGACAGATTAGCAATGAATTCATAGCGTCATAAAAAGCTCCCTGTGTATGTCTACGATTTCCCAGACAGCATATAAGGGCATCTCCCCTGCGGGTAACAGGCTCAACAAAACAGTTTGGTAGCTGTCTTGTGTGTCTCATATATGTTATGTTGGGAAGGTGTAGCAGAAAGGTATTGGGTACTGTTGGGTAGTCGGGCGTTTTGTGTGTGGCACCCTGTTAGTCGTAGGGCATGCAGTCTCCCTCAGTTTTCAAACGTATTTTCAGTGTGGTATGCATATATGTACGACATATGTGCGGACACGTGTCGGAGTATGTGTGGACGGACACACGGGAGCTTTTTAATTTTTAATTTTTAATTTTTTTGGTTTTGTTGCCCCATATTTCCCCCTGCGGTGGTTGCCTTAGTTTTTATCGCGAAAGGGTTCAGCCATCCCTTTCCCACGTCGACCGTGAGGTTGAAGATTGTTTACTCACGACCTAGATCGCTTTCTACAACTACTTAGTTCCTTGTTCGTTGCCGCTCTTCGAAAAAATTATTGGGCACAAAACAACTAGTCACGTGCGTACACTTCTCTTTCCTCTCATCTCAAAACCCGACCCGCACACACCTGACATCGCAATACTGTACAGCCTACGCGTAGCGGCAACCGCGAAAGAGGTACGCCTCGAAGCGCCCTTGTATGCCCTACCAAAACACGCCGTTGAGCATGTGTTCACTTTGTCATACATACCACGCCACGTATGCTGCTGTGGCCCCCAACCGCGGGCATTGGTTGCTCGAGTGCGTCTTAGTCCCACTGAGCGTGGACCAGCCGAGTCCCGCGCCGCCGAGTCCCTTGTGTCAGGTTCATGTTTGTAGATCAGCTTGTTTGTTCCCTGTTTCCCTCGACCATCTTCGACAACCCGGCACGTCATTCATGAATTAGCCTTTCCCGTCAATCCGTAACGACAGGTGGTGCGCTTTGCGCAGCGGAGGGGTCTGGACATGTGTAACGCTCGGACACCCCTCCCGTGAAACCAGGAACGAGAGCCCCGGGTTGATGTTGCGTGCGGAGGAAGGAGCGAGAGGATGCGTGCATACCAATGTGGCAGGGGAACGGCGAGTACAACTCAAACGGTGTGGGCAGTGGGAGGAAAAGGAGGCAGGAGGTAGGACTGACTATCCATCCAAGGAGGGGAAAGGTGCAGCAGTTGCTGCTATGCGAGGCCAACGCGGCTGTACCAAGACCACCCCCGGTAGGAGGTGGTGGGTGGGTGTCTTCCGGACGCCGAAAATGCACAAAGGTAAAAGGATCGCCTCCAGGTTGGTACACTGACAGGACGAGCCCGGCGAAGGCACCCAACCTCGGGATTGTGGAGCGGGGTACAAAATTAATCTAGGCTGCGGCGCTTTTCTTTTCTGTCAATACAATATGGTAGGCATAGAAACGAATGGTCTCTGTGTGTGCAGCTGCATACGAACGTGGCATGTCGTGACGTGGCGATGGCGAACAGAAGAAATAATAGGCTGGAGCGACGATTTCTCGAATGGAACCACGCGATTGTACTTTGGGGGCCGCGGGAATCTTGTGGTGGCTGCCACTCACTCCCGGAGCGACAGACATTTGATAGAGAACGTCGATCGTTGGTTTGTACCTTGGCAGTCAGTGCCATGTCGTGGGGTATACTACTGCTGTACTGCTGTACACGTTTTTGTCCGGGGCGAAGAAAAAGCATCATCGGTTGCCTCTTGTGGTATGCAATCCACCCTCCAACGAAAGTGCTGGCTTTGGGACTGCTGTACGGGCGTAGGATATCGTTTCGAAGGGTTGGTTGTTGTGCGGTATTTTGTTGTGCTTGACATGAATGGGTAGTCTTTCTGTGTGTGTTTTTATTATTCCTTAATGATCCCAAAGGTGCGGAAAGAGGGAGAGGGGGGCCGATCATCAGTCAGTGCGTGCTGCGTGAACCCCCACATCGGAGAGAGAGTTGTACCCTCCCTGTACAAGGTGAATAGTCTGGCCTGTCTGTACGGAGGGTACAGGGGGGCATAATGCGTGAGTGACACGTGCTATACATACTACGATGCGCACCGGAAGGCGGAGGAGGTTGATTAACGGAAGTTCGCAAAAAATAAATGTGTACAACAAACAAGTAGCATCTTCCGACATTAACAAGAGATGAACGCGGAGACAACCAACGGCTGTTGGTCTCCATGTGGTACACATGTCCCGATGACGTGCAGCGGCTGGCCCGCGCGACCTACCTGCTTTGTTTGGGCAACGTGTGTCGATGTCTCGACGGCTGAGAACACAGTCTATCACGTTGTGTTTGTTGCTTTCGTTGCTCAGCGCTATCATATATTGGATGGATATGGTACTACTGCTGTAGGAAGGACTTAATTGATTGTGTTATTTATTGCTAAATACTTCCAAGTACTATTTCGTGAAGGTCGGCGGCTGATTTTATTTTTCATAAGCCGTCGCTGACGACCCTATATTTTGCCTTTCTTTCTTTTTATTTCGCCATATTCTCTTATGAATCCTCCCTGTTGTGAGGGTGCATTGGTTGTGTGTAGACAATGTTTCTTACGAGCAGGCCGGCGCACTCCACCCAGCATGTTTGAACTCCACATTTATTTCTACGATCTATCTACCTATTCTATCTATACTGACTGTCTATCTATGTTGTGTAACACACACACACGCGCCCCACAATTAAACCGCCCTTTCTTTGTTGATCGTGTGGCTGCGGGTGTGTCGACGCGCCCGATTTGCGTCGGGACGGATGTTAGGCCGGGTTGGTTAGTTGTGAAGATACAACAATGCATGCATGCACTTGCAACGTTCCTAAACTATTTGTTGACTAATTAGTTGGTGCATGTTTACCCAACCAACCAACCAGAAACAACCAGCAGAGAGAAAACAGATGACGTGGACAAATACTTCTTCCCAAAAAAAACCCAGCCGTATATCATTTATTATCTGAAGTGGCCATTAGTCTACTAGGTTTCGTTGTTACGTTGGTAGCATGGTTGTTGGTAAATGAAAGGAGTAGAAAACACCTCGTGACTGGTCGGGTAAACCAACAACTTGCTTGCCCTTTTTTTCTCTTCTTGTAGTTAGTTAGTCGCTCTTGTCGCTGTTTCTCTGTTTCGTTTCTTTTCTCGAGACTCCTCCTCTCTCTCTCCTCTGACTCTCCTCATCATCACCATGCCTCTGTGCTGTGTGTTGTTGTTGTATTCGCCACCAACATTCATTGTGTACGCTCCCTCTGACACTACAGGTAGCAGCAGCGTCCCGCGGCGGTTATTATTTCTTGTTTTTTTATGATACGGTACTACTTGCTGTGGGGAACGGAAAAATCTAGTTCGACATTTCTTTTCTTATTTATCGTCTCGCTTTACGGGCCGGCAGATGCGCATTCGGCTGGGTTTGCAGAGGGGGGCGGGGGGGGTATAGTATATAACTTGGCCCCCGGCTGCCGACCTAATTTTGTCTAAACACACAAGAAGGGCGTCTTTCACTCTTTGTTGCTCCCCGTCCAACCAACCCAACCAACAAGGCGTGACATTTTCCCACCTCCCACGACACGAGCAGGGGGACGTGCATCCAATTTTTTTCTGGGCATACCGTCATACACCCCGGCGATCCCCAGCTGATCCATTTGGGCAAAACTGCATTATTGTTACTGTTGTGTGTGTGCAGGAAAAAAACACAAACACGCCAGCAGCAGCAGCAGGCGGAAAATTGCGCAACAGCTTTTCAGCTGCGGGTGTTGTTCCCGGCATTGCTACCCGCCCTCGAGAGCTGCTGGGTGATAGGCTTGACCCCGCGCAGCATCGAAAAAGACTGCCGTTCGCGCTTGGCAATCATGGCTGCTAGCGCTGTCGTTGGTGCGTCTACCGCGTCCATTGTCCCGACAGGAGGGGCAGGGGCTGTAGCTCCGGCCGCAGCAGGAGCCGGCGCCGGTGGGGCGAGGACTGCCCGCAGGAAGCAAAGGTGCTGGTTGTTCCAGGTGGACGGCGTCACAAGCAATGGTGAGCTCGCGGGGCAAGGCCGTTGTACCTGGCCAGGGGGTGCTGTGAAATTGCATTGATTGAGTTCGTCGAGCCCGCTCTCGACTGGTGCTACTGGGCAAGAAAGGATGTTGATTTGGCTCTGCTTCTTGTGTTGCTGTGCTGAGAGAGATGGCTGTTTAGGGCAGCAGAAAGAGCACATAGTCTGCCGGGGCGATTGTTGTTCCTGTCCTGCCTGCTGTTTCGCGCAAAAACTAATAGGGCAGTAGTGCGAACGCTATTTGACGCGCAGCCTTGTCCCCATGCCGCTGCTGCTACTACTGTTGTCCCCCGCCTGCGTTGGGCGATACAGCCTCCGAAGTTGAGCTGCTGGCTTCCATCCGTGAGAGGTACACGACGGTCAAACGCCTTGTCGTCAGACCTGCCGCAACAAGCAAAGATGCTGTTGCTGCTGCCGACGGCAGCCCGCGAAACGTGGTGGTGGAGGTGCAGTTCACCGGCCCTCAGCCCAGCGAGGGGCCCGGCGCTCTGCTGTGCGACCTTTTGTGCGGCGTTTCCGTAGACGCCAAGCCCGTGGAGCTTCCGCGGGGGCGCAAGAAGCGAGCCAGGACTGACGCGACGGCGTCCATGGAGGGCAGCGACTCGGGTGAGACGGACCACTTGATGATTTTGTTGCTGTCGGAAGAAAACAAAATCCTTGGTTGGCGGAAGCTGATACCGTCATGTTCCCCGTCAGGATGAATAACCTTTTCGGGTGCCGGCCGCCGCGTGAATTTAATCCCCGCTCGGCGTGCGAGCGTGTCTATCGAACGCCGCGCGTGCGCTGAACGTGGCTATCTGCTGCTGCTGTCTAGTGTTTGTTGCGAGACGTGTTGCGTATTGACACAGTCAACGGTGTTCGCTGTTACATGAGGCGACTCACGCACCTGTGTAGTTGTTGACATGCGCGGCCGGGTGAGACAGAATGTCCCGCAAAGGAGTGTGAGTTTCCCTGCGGGCTGCTGTGTGTGTATCTATACATCTGTGACGGGCTTGCCTGTTTCGATGCAACGGTAGCACGCACAGCGGACACATGCGAACTTGCGGCATTACCCTTTCATCGATGATGTGCATAAAACGTGCACATTTGGATCACATTTTTTCTTGCCGGCGTCCGAAGTTTTGGAAGTTTTTACGCTCAACAGCAGAAAAAAAGAAGGGGTGCGCACGGATTGAGATTTGAGTGCAAAAGTTTGTCCTCCAGATTTGTTCGCGGCAGCGTTTTGTCTCTCTCTCTCTCTCTCTCTCTCTCTCTCTCTCTCCCATGACCGTCGCCACCTGCGTAGTTCAGAGCACCGACCGGCGTTATTTGCAATATGATGTTGTGAGAGGGCAGCTGTTCGTGGCACAACGAATTGACCTCGTAGAGGCGTTGGATTTTTTTGGACTACAAATGCCGAGAGCAAACAATCAGCGCGCGTGGCGTGTTGCCGATGCCTCTCTGCAACTGTGGCGTATATCTGGTTCCGCACACCCATACACGCCATAGCATAGGTACACAGCGGTAGCCCCTTATTGTTGGCGGGTTGGGGGCGCATGACGCGGCGGTGACGCGAATCGTGTCATCCTGTTTTCGAAACAATTCACATGATTTGGGAACCATGTCTGTCTCCCTCGCCTCATGCAGATGATTTGGCGCGAACGAGAAGCGATTGACAACTTTTCACTCGGCAAAGAATACATACTCCGTCGGCCCAAATCCATGTGCTGGTTATGGATGCCCCGCACCAACGCATGCGTACGATCGTGCTGCGCAGGACTGGTTTTGTTGAAAGGGTAGGCACGGAAAGCGATCAGTATGGGCGTTTAGTTTCGGGAACGGTAAAAGCTCGAAGTTGTCACGCGTTGCGATTCAGACCCTTTCTAATACTCTGCTGTAATGTGAATGTGGTTGTGGTCTCGCATGAATGCATGAATGTTGCTGCTCGAACGCGGCGGCACCGCCGCCGCCGCCGCCGCCGCTGTCCTCGGTAGACTCATGCCCTCTTGAAAGTCAAAGCTGCTACATGTAGGTACACGCCTGTACATTAACTCGTACGCCTTTTGTCCGCCGGGGCTCTCTTTCTCCCTCTTGTTTTTCAGATATGTACACGCCTATCCATAGATTGTTGAAAGCAAGCCGACGAATATCGTCGGCGTTGCTAGTCCCAAGCTTTATATTTTTATTTTAGTCGCGTGTTGCGCGTGTGCTGACACCACGAACGGGAAGGACCTTAATTAGCCGACACACTACGCAATAATGGTCGTGATGGACGCGGGTACGCAATAAAAAAACAACACATACATCCGATCCTCGGGAATCACGAAATGCAACGTCTACATACACACGGTAGGCACTCTGTCTGTCCCTTTAACACGGTACGTACTGCTTTTGCCTACCACTCACTCTCGTCCTCTCGTCCGCATCAACAACAAACAATGCAACTTGCCGCACAACAAGAGCCATCCCTGCAGGAAAAGCTGTACAAACAAGCAAAAAGCAGCTCCTGCTGCGGTAAGCTGCTGCTGTATGTACCATTTTTCAGCACGCACGAACAACAGATACAGCACAGGCGAAAGAGCTGAGTCTGCCTGTCTGTGTCTGCGTCGGCGTGAGTAGGGGTGGGTGTGAGGTATCGATAGAGTAACGACAGGATGTTTTTTTATGTTTATTCTTCTTAATATGACACAACGAATCCATCTCCATCATAGAAAAGAGTCTGAGACAGATTAGCAATGAATTCATTGTGTATGGCATCTCGACGAGTATCGTCGCGTTGCCTGTCTGAAGCTTTCGATTTTTGCAGCGGGTAACAATCAAGGTAGACACCAAGAAGATGCCCGATGAGCACACAGGAACCGGGGGACCCCAAAAAACAAAAGCATGAAAAACAAAAGAAAGAAAGAAGCGAGAACAAACGAGTCAGACGCGACAGGCTTCAGGGAGGAGGCAAAAGAGCGCATAGAAGAAAAGCACCGTCGCCGCTCGCTCCGGACCGCTGGAAACTCTCACATAGCACTACATATGGAGCAAATATTAGGTAGGGCCCAAGTCCATTGCTTGGCATAACGCCCATCGCTTCACATGCAGCAGCCGGATGCACGGGTAGCCTCTTACTCAGCAAAAAGCGAAACGACTGCGGTTGGTTGACGTTCGATGTTGTTGGGACCCTACCGGCGAAAGGCGAGAGAGAGAGAAAGAGAGGTAGACAAAAATACGAGAGCGGAGAGAAGACAAGGCATTGACTCTCTCGAGAAGAGAAGGCATTGACTCTCTCGAGAAGAGAAGGCATTGACTCTGTCGAGAAGACACTCACTCTCGTCCCTCTGGCCCGCCGCAGGCTGTCAGACATGATGTCACGTTGTGTATCGAACGGCGATATCCGATGTCGGCTCAGCAACAGCAAACAAGCACAACAACAAATATAGTCAGTCGCCGTGTGCGAGCTGTGGACTACTATCTTGTTGTAGGAAGTGAGAACTAAAAAGAGCACGACTACATAGCACCACGGACGAACTATTATCGCAATACGCTTGCCGTCCGCCATAGATGCGCACCGCTGCACGAACGAGCTGTTGGTTATCATACCTCACTACGTAGTATCTAAGATTGTGCTGCCATCTAGCTTACCTATCGCTCAAATTACGACTACGCAGCAGACTCAAGGCAAGGAAGCAACACGCGTGCCGATGCATACCAACCATGCATGCAGCAAAACAAAACAAGGCGGACCGTCTGTTGTTGTTTGTCTCTTCAACTGACTGTGCTGCCGACAACGACACTGGAAAAAAGTAGGAGACGCGCATCGCCTACGCGAGCAACGCGTGCAGCCCAAACAAACAGAGACGATAACCTTACGACCTTTCTTTTCAGCACATTCATTCATTCCGAGCATATACTGCAGCAACCGCAAGTATGTGTACAGCAGCAGCCGCATGTTGTGTACAACAACGGTCACTCAGGAAGAAAATCACAACAACAAACAAACGCAAAAAAAAAAAGGTGGTGGCGCGCAGCACGCAGGACCCTCTTTCGCTTTGAACCGGCCATTCCCATGGCGAAACAGACAAGGTACAGCAGTGAAGGCCGACTCTTGCCGGCCCCAGGAGGCGGAAGCTGCTACAACTCGGGGACGGGTCATGATTTGCGATTGATTCCTCACCGAACGGATATCGAACGATGACACTACTGTTTCAACTAGCTTCAGAAAAGCTTCAAAATTAATTGTGAAACTTGCATAGAGATGGCAAGTAAACACCCCGTTCCAAAGAATATCTGTCGTTGATTTTTATTGACTTGCGGACCTTTCGGGGCCAGTTTGTTTTAGCGTACCTCTTTAGGGTAAGTTAGCCTGTGACCACGGGAATCGACCGCGTCAAGTGTTGGATCAGTACGCACATATGAAGGTACTGGGTAGAGAGAGATCTGAACGGTTTTTAATGCGAAGACAACAACAACAACAACAACAACAACATTTAAAACTGAACTAATGGGTGGTGGGCGGATGACCGGCGGACCCCAAAAAGCAAGCGGAAAAATAAAATATAGACTATGTTAAGAAAAAAAAGAAAAAGAAGAAGGGACGACAAAGACAAGTGAGCCAGACGCGACAGGCTTCAGGGAGGTGGCAAAAGAGAGCATACGAAAACCACCGTCGCCGCTCTGAACCGCTGGAAGCTGTCACATAGCACAGCATGCAGCAAACATTATAGGGGCCATGCCCCCGTTGCTTCAAGTAAAGAGGCAGCGCCCATCGCCTCACATACAGCAGCCGGGTACGTACTACACAAATAGCCTCTTACTCAGCAAGAAGAAAAACGATTGCGGTTGACGTTCGATGTTGTTGGGACCCCAACGGCGATAATAGGCGAGAAGGAGAGACAGGTGCTGCTACTACTACGTAGATCAACAGAAGAAAGCGTAGAGAAGGCATTAATTAACTCTCGAGACCCTAACCGAAGACACTCACTCTCGTCCCTGTGGCCCACCGCAGGCTGTAACGAACGACGACATCCGATGTGTGCTCAGCAACAACAAACGCAACAAACCAAATATAGTCGCCGTTTCCGAACTAACTGTGGAGACTCTCTTTCATCACTTGTGGTATGAAGTATGAAGTGACAACGAAATAGAAAATGATGACGAGAAGCACCACGGACGAACTATTTTCTCAATACGCTTGCCGTCGCGATAGACGCGCACCGTTCCACGAACGACCAGTTGTCAAACCTCACTACGCAAATAAGATTGTTGTCCTGCCATCTACCCCTTATCGCTCAAATTACGACTACGCAGCACACTAAAGGTAAGTAAGGCAGCAACACGCTTGCGATGCTTTACCACCCATCCATGCATGTAAGAGAAGAAAAAAAAAAGGGTATGGCGGACCGTCTGTTGTCTGTATCTTCAACCGTGCTGCCGTTGCTTTTCTTCATGGATATCGGCACAGAGAAAAAAATGAGGAATGCGCATCTCCTACGCGAGCACGGCGTGCAGCCCAAGCGACAGAGACGATAACCTTATGACCTTTGCAGCATCTTCCGAGCATAACAGCAGCCACCGCATGTGTACAACGGTCACTATAGACTAAGGAAGAAAATCACAAAATCACTGGTTATCGCCCCACAGCGAGCGATAGCTGCTCAAACGACTGTGAGAGGTCTTGAAATCGTCTCAGCTACCCAGAACTGCTGGTAGTTGCCGGAGATTTGCAGGTACGAAGTGCTTTTGCCTACCACTCTCGTCCTCTCGTCCGCACATCAACAACAACAATAAATGCTAATTTTCGCACCACAAAAGAGCCATCCATGCAGAAAGTTGCAACAACAGAACAAAAGCAGCTCCTGCTGTATGTACACAGAATGTCCAGCTGTGTGCTGAGGTCGGTCAGCATCTCGAGAGAAGCGTAGCCAGCAAGCAAGGCTTGGCGCGGGACACGAGAGAAGCAAGCAAGGCTTGGCGCGGGCGGCGAAAAAAATGAAGACGACTCTTATACAAAAAGATCTATAAAAAGAGGACCCTCAACGACAAGTCAACCAATCTGGTCGTTCCGATGTGACGATGTAACGCAGATCTTCTTGTCGACGGAGAAACTGGTTATCGCCCCACAGCAAGCGATAGATGCTCAAACGACTGTGAGAGGTCTTGAAATCGTCTCAGCTACCCAGAACTGCTGGTAGTTCTCGGAGGTTCGCAGTGTGGGCTGAGATCGGCCTTTTCGACCCGGTCGGGCAAGGGGTCCGCTATGCTACTGAAAACTCCACAGACGGAAAAAAAAGACTTTTGATCGACTGAGACCCAAGCTAGAGCTTGGGAACCAAGCTAGAGCTTGGGAATAGAAAAGAGTCTGAGACAGATTAGCAATGGATTAATCATAGCGTCACCTGTATTTTCAATGTGGTACGCGTATGCGAAAAAAAAGAAGACGACTCTATAAAAGGAGGACCCCGAACTAATAATAATCTGGTCGTTCCAATGAGATCCTTTTGTCGAAACTGGTTTTCGCCCCACAGGCAGCTGCTGCTGCTGTAAGCTGCTGCTGCTGCCGTATGCACCATTTTTCAGCACGCACGAACAAGAGTTGAGTCTGCCTGTCTGTGCCTGCGTCGGCGTGAGTAGGGGTGGGTGTGAGGTATCGATAGAGTAACGACAGTTTTTTTTTTTGTTTTGGACACTACGAAACCATCTCCATCATCTGATCTCCATCATAGAAAAGAGTCTGAGACAGATTAGCAATGGATTAATCATAGCGTCACCTGTATTTTCAATGTGGTACGCGTATGCGAAAAAAAAGAAGACGACTCTATAAAAGGAGGACCCCGAACTAATAATAATCTGGTCGTTCCAATGAGATCCTTTTGTCGAAACTGGTTTTCGCCCCACAGCGAGAGATAAGCTGCTCAAACGACTGTGAGAGGTCTTGAAATCGTCTCAGCTACCCAGAACTGCTGGTAGTTCTCGGAGGTTTGCAGTGTGGGCTGAGATCGGCAGTCCTCTGTCTCGTCCGCACATCAACAACAACAATAAAACGGGCAAGGGGTCCGCCTCTTATACAAAAGTATCTATAAAAAGAGGACCCTCAACGACAAGTGAACCAATCTGGTCGTTCCGAAGTGACGATCTGGTCGTTCCGATGTGACGATGTAACGCAGATCTTCTTGTCGACGGAGGCACTGGTTATCGACCCACAGCAAACGATAGCTGCTCAAACGACTGTGAGAGGTCTTGAAATCGTCTCAGCTACCCAGAACTGCTGGTAGTTCTCGGAGGTTCGCAGTGTGGGCTGAGATCGGCATTTTCGACCCGGTCGGGCAAGGGGTCCGCTATGCTACTGAAAACTCCACAGACGGAAAAAAAAGACTTTTGATCGACTGAGACCCAAGCTAGAGCTTGGGAACCACAGACCAAAACTATTTCGCTCTTTGCCCGACGGGGCTGTCTCACTCTCTCTCATGTTTTTCGGATGCCTTGTATGTTCTGTTGGTGGTCTAGTTGGTAACCTCGAAACCTTCTACAAGTAGAGGCCAGGTCAGGGGTTCGAATCCCGCCGTAAGCGAGCTTTTCTTGCAAAGTGGGTTTTTCTCTCGCTTCCGCTCCTGGCCAAGTGGATAGCGCTAGTTCGTGTGTACACAGAGGGAAGAGAGTGCTGAACTCTTCTCGCATTAAAAACCGAAGGCAAAGTACCGCAGGAGGGGAGGGTAGAGAGGGGCTCTTCTGTGAGACCACGGGTTGGAGTAAACGGCACTAGCGCTGTGTGCGCCGATTTGAAGTGAAGACAACAAACAAAAAACAAACAAACACATGTTGTGTTGGTGCAAGTTGCCACCCTTGGGCACGGTTGCGGTATAAGGCACTTGGCAGCAGCAAACGCTTCATATGCATGCGATACAAGTGCACCGGGTCCGCGCCGGCGTGGCCTGTTAGTCCGTCTTCTTCGCCACCGGCTCGTGGAGACCAAAGCGGGAGACGGACTTCGCCGACAAATTCTTCGACACGTTACTACAGTACCCAATACCCCATCACGTGTGCAGATAACCTTGGGGTCCGCGCGCAATTATCAAATGTTGCTCCGCTTTTTGGCGCATTTTTTCTTGCTTGCAGGTAAAAAAGGGGAATCCACAACGATACATGCCTGTGTGCATGTTTTTTGTTTCGTGTTCTTGTCGAGGTGCTATGTGGGGCCTGGGGACCCTCTCCCAGCAGCCCACTCGCCTGTCCCCTTCGCGTTTATTACGCTCGTTCGGGAGAGTCGATGCGTACCATGCACGCTTTGCTCCACTTCTGCCCACTGCTGATCGTCACTGTTTTTATGCGAACTTTTTTTGTGCCTCCGCGGCGGCAGATTTCTCTTTCAACCATCGACATGGTAGTTCGCCTCTTTCATGGTGACTGTCCCAACCATTACGATGCGGTCGCTGTGGTGTCACTGGCGGACTTGGCACAAAAGTTCTGTGTCGTGCGCTGATATGGCGTTTGCTGGAGATGTTGAGCGTTCGTTGTTTGCTGTTTACCACTGATTTGATTTCCTCGACGAGCAGTCACCACAGGGGAAGGAAGGAGCCAAAATCAATATTTGACAAAACAAACCCAACACCTCTTACGCCAAGTCCTTTCCGGCCGCAACCTGCCCCCCCACCGCGGCGGGCGTACTGTTCTGCCTTTTTGTACTTTCAGACATTGAAGATGGGGGTTCGAGAAAGATGGGCGGTCACCGGAGCACAAACAGCCTCGGGCGCATGGACGACGAAGACGAAGAGGACAGCGCGGGCGGCGGGCGGTTCGTCTCGAACAAGCCCAGCAGCCAGGGCGACTCCCTCATGGTCCGGGGCAGCAGCAAGCACCAAGAGCCGCCGGCCACCTTCCGCCGTACGTCGAGCCGCGACAGCGACGGGCAGGTGGTCCCCTCCTCGGGCCTCGGGCCCCTTTCGGCCGTCGGCATCTTCAAGAACCCGTCCTCTTCCTCCGATGGTCCGTCGACCGTTCCCCCTCGCGCGGTGGTTCCGGCAGACGACGGCAGCGGCAGGGGCACCCCCGGCGCCCTCCCGGCCGTGAACCCACAGCAGCACCGAGTCGTTTCGAACGACGCCATGCAGCCGCCGTCGTCCCAGAAGCAGCATTCGCCCCAACCGCTGCCGCAGCCCTTTCAGCAAGCGCTGCAGCACCAGCAGCACCACTTCGGCAGGCCGGCGATCGCCGTAGGCGTCGCCGGTGGGGCGGTGACCGGGGGCACCCAGTGGGACGATGTCGTCCGGAGGATGACCACCCCGCAGGGCTCCGGCCACTCGCTCGAGATGGGATCGGAGCACAGCAGCAACGGCAGCAACGGCCAGCCCCCGGTCAAGGCGGAGTACGACCCGCTCGTGATCACCTCCAACAACAGCGTGGGCACCTGGAACAGCAACGACAGCCAGGTGGCGCTGCTGGGCCCCATGCCGCCACCGCAGTCCGTCCAGCCCCCGCTTAGGGGGTGGTCGTTCGACTCCGCGCAGGTCGCGGATAGCGGCGCCGGCGGCTCGGCGGTGGTTGACCTGTCCGACGTAGACGGCTTGTTCCGCGGGTCGGCGGCGGACGGTGAGGCCGTCTCCGCCGCTGCTGCCGCCGCAGCCGCAGCCGCAGCCGCAGCCGCGGCCACCGCGAATGCCGGCGGGAGCGTGACGGACTCGAACGGCTCCTCGCCGGGATCGACGAACAGCAACGCGGACGCCGGGGCCGGGAGGCAGCAGCAGCACGAGGCCATGTCTGACGCCAAGTGGGCGAACGATGGCCACCTTCCGATGGAGAAGGTCGTTATCGAACCGTCGAGGAATGTGAGTTCGTTTGCGGATCGACCGCGCCTACAGCAGTAGCAGACTCTGGTCATGTGGTTTGTTGTTTTGAGAAATGCCACGATATTGTTTTTGCTCGCTGCTGCATGGCACACGACTGCTGTTCTTTAGTTTTGCTGATGTTGTGCGTGCCGAGGCGGGACACAAGCGGCGTGGTTATTGCGATTTGTTTCACAATTGTTTGTTTTTTTCCTCTGTGCCGGCCTGTCTCTTTGCATCGCGCTGACAATGGCTCCCCCGCCCCCGCCCTTGCCTCCTTTCAAATTATATGAAACCCCCGTCACCCGCCAGGAGTGCGACTTCGAGGGCCGCCCAACACCCCCGACCGACCCCAAGAGCGGCGAGCCGCCGATCCCCTCGTCCACGGACCGCCAGTGCCACCTGGTGTTTACCGGGCTTAACAACACCGGTCAAGACCTCCGCAGCCTGCGCGTCACGGCGCACTTCGGTGTGGACTCGGTGCACAAGGTCGGCAAGGTCACCAGCCCTATCCAGGTGAGACGTTTGTCCTATTTTTGGCGGGCGTTTTTGGGAGGTGCTCGCCCGCAGTTTTTGACAGCCAGCCAACATGCTGCCTATTCTTGGCTATTTGTGGACTAAATAGCGCAGTTTGAGACACCGTATGTAAGAGTCGGAGAGATGGCACCGGATGCGTTCGGGTTTTTGTTGTTGAGCGCGCAACAGCAGTGTGATTTCACCGACTCTTCCGGTACTTGTGTTCATTCAACACGACATGCGTGCCGATTTCCTTCGTGTGAAGGCCTTGCGAGTATCGAATGCCATACGCATAAAAACCGGGTATTTGCGTGGTTACATAGTTTGTGTCATGATGGCGTGATGACGGCGTACCCCTCGCTTGTTGGGATTACCTTGTGCCTAGGGCACTGCCACGATATACACTTGTTGTACCTTGCGTATGACACGCCCGTCGGATCATGTTTTTCTTTGTTGGTGCTTTTTCTCAACAGCTCGGCTCCAACGGCCGTGCTTACGCGGGCGTGTTCTACCCGAGCATGCAAGAGATCTGGCCAGAGCTGTACAGCACGAGCAACATCCGAGTGGTTGAGGTGAGAGGCGCAACACTGGTCGCGCGTCGCGGTGACTCTTCGAAGTCATTTCCTGAGTATTTTCGGTCGCCAGTGGTGTGCGCATTGCAGCGGTATGTGGTGCTTTGTGTGTATTTGGTGTACTTGGCGTGCTGTCTCCTTGGCTGAAGCAACAATATCATTTTCGATTTTTCCTCCAAGTGTTGAATGTCGTCGGCAGGATGGGTGCTCTGCCACGACGAAAGCTTAAGCTTCATCGTCGTTGGCACCGCACAACCCGCTGCAAACGTATGCTGTCGAGGTCTTCTGTCGATCCGGATGTATCATCCCTCATCCTTCTCGTGATGTATGCTACTGCTGTAACGTCGCAGGTGGATCTCGTTGTCGAAATCCGATCTGACAGTGGGGAGTACCAGTACGTTGGTCCCCAGCTCAAGGTGAGGAGAGATGGAAAGAGGGACACGACAACACCTGTAGACAACAGTTTACCAAGAGGGGATGGTAGCGATCAAATTCGAACAAGGTTGTTAATCACTAACTGGCGACCTTTAGCTCCGTGGTTTACCACAGCCACTACCCGGACTCAAGCGCGTGAAAACGAAGCCATCCGTCAAACGCATTCACTGCTGCTTACCAGCGTTCGACCTAGGTGATGGCGTTTTGCATCGTTTTCTCTGCGTCTGGTCCTTGGTTGCCGCAAGGCCGCCCTCCTGTGCCCAACATGATGGCACTAAATCCTTCAGTACCCGACCAACAGAAGCGCACCCTCGCTGCCGCCTCTCGGTCGTAACCGTCGAAGCAACGCGAAAGCCTCTTCCCATTTGTAACTCCCCGGCGACCCTTATCTTTCCCGTCATTGCCAGGTGACGTATCTCCGCGCCGCACCCCCCGCCGACGCGGCTGAGGCAACGCCGAGACCGGCGGGAAGGCGAACGGCATCCCGAGCGCCCATCCCGTTCAACAGCGACGGCCACCAGGTCTCGTACAGCTGCGTGGACTACTCGTGCGGGGACTGGTTCTCAGACATGTGCCAGTCGGTCTTCCGCAGCGGTGCCACGGCTCACCAGCCCTTGCATGACGACCCCAACGACCTCATGAACGTGGATCCGTGAAAGATGGATCTTGTGTCCCCGACGATGTCCGGTGAAGGTTCGGTTACGATACAGCGTCAAAGTCAGAAGCGGTATCTGTGAAGCGAACCCATGTCACGCGGCGGTCCGAACTTTCAAGACATGTTGTGAAAGTGGTGTCGGTGGGTGGAACGGTGGAGTGGGGCGGGAAGTGGTCAGGCCTGATCTAATATTCTCCTAGAGTGTGGGGGGTGTCGGGCCCGCTCCCTTGTGCGTACGTTCGCACAGCACATCAGGACACGGGCGCCAAATGGCGCCCCGTACTTCATGCAGAGTAGGGGAAGGCGCTCTCCCCCTGGGCGCATGGGTTGGAGGCCTATTGCGTCCTTTCGAGTGCTCTAGTGTAATTTGTTTCACCTGCTTGCTTTCTGCAGGAAAAGTAAATGTGCTTTTGGGACGGCCATCTACGCGGTTGAACAATTTTTGTCTGTCTGTCCGGCCTGTACCGAGCCTCTGGTACGATGCGTAATTCTTGCATATACTGCTGTACTCCCTGGATTGAAAGTTGTAGCCTTCCTAATACATTTTTCGATTCTATATAGTACCCGATATGGTGTCGAGGGAATCTCTTGTGTATGCTATATGACATGCCACGCGATGGCGGCACGATGAAGGCAAGTGAGTTCTCTCGTGGAGATTTCTCTGGCCGAACCTGTGCGTAAACGCATACCTCGACAAGCGTGTGTGGCGTGTGTGTGAGTGAGTGCTTTCGGTTTCCCTGTGTGGTATGGTAGTATACCTGCCTTCTCCTCCCTTGGACGTAAGATGAAGATATGCAAACCTTGTATTTAGGCTTTTAATGCCGTTGGGAATTTATAATGTTTGAGGGAGGCTCATTGTGCATTTAAAGTGAGGTCAGAAGGAGATAGATTGGCCCGGAGGGTGGTGCGGTGTTTTTGTGTTGTTCGTGGTAGTGTGGAGGATTGGTTTGGTTCGACGAGTGTGTTTTTGTCGACCAAGGCTCATCGGACTTGAGCATACAAGTCGAAGAAGCACCCGAAGACCATTGAAGTCAGCCATAACTTGTATCCTCGATCTCGGATCACCCTATCGTCCCCAACACGCAGAAGTAGCGCAGTGTACGTGCGGAGGTTGGTTGGCTTCGCCAATCTGCAGGCTTCCTTGTTTGCTACCCTCCTTCAGTATTCTTGGTCCCATCGATTCGTATTTTGGGTGCATGGGGGGGTTTCGATTCGCTGTGGGTATATGGCCGCGTTTGCCTGAATATGAATATGTTGTGACCCAGTTAGTCCTGTAGAGAAGAACATTCACAATGAAAACGGCCCGCCAGGCTAGTTTGGCTCCCTAGGTTCGTGCGCTTGCTTTGAGTAGTAGCACCAAGAGACGGAAGCGCCAAATTGACTCCTCTGTGGCTATATTAGTGGGTCGTGGACTGGCCAAGCAGGTAGAAGTAGGTTTTATTTTTTTTGAAGGGGGGTCGAGCACCGCACACGTGTCTCCGTGCATGGGCAAGTTAGACGCAAGGTTTGTTTGCGGTCGTTCGGTGGAGGAGAGGGGGGGACACGGTTGCACAGCGATTAGTTCATGCGGTGCAACGGAGTGGTTTTGTTCGTGACGACCTAGTCTAAATATCTCACAAATGTCGACGCGCCGTTTTCTTTTTTTCTGATTCCGGGCGGTACCCACGTACCGCATTTCTTGCATTTCCAGTTTGTCAACACCGAGCCATTGTCTAATTATAGGGCGTTCGAAGGAACTAACCGGCTATATGCCTCTTTTGCATGGGACTCGAATTTTTAGGGTAAGTGTTTTGTATGTGTGCACGCCGTTTCATGACGGCGGCGCACAAGTCTGCCCGATCTGTCGGTGTACCACTCATTCTCGTCGGTGTTTTTGTAGCGGTGCGTACCGGTGTTGGCAGCAAGAAAGTGGGGTTGGCTGTAGGTCTTTTTGGGTATTGCTGGGGTAAGTTATACCGTTGTCTTTTTTGTCGGGGGAAGGAGGACGATCGCTCACGTGCACATGGGCGTGTCTTGGTTGCGGATCGACCGCGTCTCCGCAGGCACGCTACGAATGTTTTGTCGCGCCCTTGGATGGTCCATGTAGGCCATCTGTTGCGTGCATGTCAGGCAGGACTTGATCGGTTTATCGGTGTATTATACAGTAATGAAAGTAGTACAGTAGTGCGCAGACGATTTTTCATTTTCAATTTTCGTGTATTTTGTCCTTTTTTTTGCTCTTCTTCCGGCCTTTTGCCCTGAGAAATCTCGTCGTCTTGCGGACCCCTTGTCTGTAGCACCAAACATATGTAGACGGGGGGGTGATCGTATAACATTCAGGCGGTGGGTCATGGGTTGTCACACGCAAACTAGCTCGCTCATACGTCTTGATGTAGGCAGGTATGTTGGAGGTGCGAACGAGGTCTCCAAGATCAGTTTTGGAGGCACCCGTCCCCGCGCCCGAATATCGCATATATATATGCATAAATCCATTCAGAATTCGTGCTGTCCTTTTCTAGTTGATTGCGATTTAATTTTTACACTCGTAGTGCTTTTGTATTTTCTTTTTTGTCTGGCGGTGTGCAGCTTCGTACCACGCACGCAAACTCGCAAATTAGGGTTCCCTCCAGTCAGTGTGAGTTGGATCTGTGCTAGACTGGATGGATGGATAAAAGACGTTGGTTTGGCGTGCCGCGTCTCTAGCGAGGTGCGTGGTGGAACATGGAGGTCTCGGAGATAAGGAGGCGTGGAAGACCGGCGAGCTTGCTGGTTCTTGAACATGCTCCAGGTTCATGTGTTGTTGTTGCCAAAACTACGAAGAGTTTTGTCCGCAGGGAATCCAGACTGCACTGCACTGCACACCACAGCCAGCGAGTCGTACAAGGCCAGGCCACCACAGCAGCATCCGGCGTAGTCGGTGGAAAGGATGTGAGATAGATATTGACTGTCGTGAGTTTTTTGTCGGTCCGTGTTTGTGTGTACGTAAAGCACAGAGACATTTGTTTCCTTTTCCCAAAGTTCCGTCACGTGTAGTGCTCTCCATCACCTGTAGCCATTCGGCTACCCCTGTGTGGACCTTGCGGGCAAATACACCCTGCACGGACACTGTGACACCCTGGGAGGGTAATTGGTCCCCACAAGGTCCACGGGCAGGAACCCTGTCAGGATGTCGACGCTGCCAGGATTGTAAATAAGCAGATCTGTGGGCCGTGAACGGCAAAACCGCCGGAAGATCCTTCACATACATGCACACACCAAGATGCTTTGCTGTACATTCAGCTGAAACCATTGCCGCATTGCGATGTTGACATTTGCAGCCTTGGTGACGACATTTCACGTCTTCTTACGCAACATTCATCACACTACGGGCAGCTCCACAGAGGCGCATGCTAGCATTTATTTGTTCATCGCAGAGTGACTGCATGCGGTGCGGCATGACATGGATGGTGATGATGTGATGATGATCAACGATGATTTAAGGAATAATAAAAACACACAAAGAAAGACTCCCATTCGAGATGTACCCAAAATCGAACGGGATGTGGTGGAGTCTTTTTTTGATGCAACAACTACAATTTCACTTTGTGCGCGGGACTGTCATCTTCATCAATGGAGCCCCCATACGTTTCATATCTAGCCGCGGCGCCCCTGGGCCGTAGAAGTTGGTAGGACTCGCCCCTTGACATTTACGAATGACCTGTACACGCAGCAGGGCCTCGTCAGTCACAGCAGCAACAGCATTGTGTGTGCAGGTGGGGAAGCAACAACAGGGCGGGGGTGGTGGTGGTCGGATACAAATTAGTGTCCACCGACGACGCTGTGACTCCCAGACTCAATAATACCTACAGCAATATTTTGTCGTAGTCTCTGTGGAGAGGTACTGTGAGTAGAAAAGTATCAAAGAGTAAACATGTCTCAGCCGAGTCTTCCATTCACAGAAATTACAGCAGTGGTATTTGTTTCCTACGCTTTTATTATGCATGCGTAGTTGCACAAGAGAGAGATGTACGCGAAGTCGATAGAAGATGCGTGTGACCGAGAAAAAAAAAATACAGCAGTTGTTGTTGCCGATATGGGGGCGCAGCGGGACAGACTACTATTTACTAGAAGTATTTGTTGTGTGTTCGTGCTTGCCTGCTTGCTTGTAAAAGTACAGATCAATCCACTGCTGTTGTTCACCGCTACTCTCTGCCGGTGCCAGGTCCAGCGACGAGGCTATCCAACGGAATATATATGCATGCGTGGGTGAGCTGTGCTATGTACTCGTGTCGAATACTTGGCTTTGCGACAGCGCTAAATTTACAGTACCACTTTGCTTTGCCCCACCCAGCGTGCACGCTGCGAGCGTTGTACAAATGCCGCCGTGCATAGGCGATGTTGGTTGCGTAAGATACTTTAAAGCTTGACTACCCCACGACGAAGAGGATGTCAATACTGTAATCAAATGGTACGTTATCGGAAGGCTCTCAACGGGACGGTTCCAGTGCCGCCATTTTCTCCACCGGCATGCTTTCTGCTCGAGCTTTGAACATTGGTCCCGGGGGGCGGGGATGGTATCTTACGCAACCATTGGAACATGCCGCTATGAATCTGCTCATGAGCGACTAGCAACAAACTGACCACGCCACTAACTGCTGTTGTTCCTGCTAGGCTGACCATCTAATGTTGGCATCCAGCACTGGCATCCAACACTGCAAGCTGAATTGACGACGATAATATTGTCTATGCCCATTTGTTATTATTGCCGCGTAGCGCGTATGTGGCCGACGACCTTCAAAGAACGAAATTTATCATTGGGTGTACGGTGCATAATCATGTACCTACCCTGGGTGCCAAGAAAGGCAAAAGTAAAGGTACTATTGTACACGACCTACAGTACACCTTCTTGATGTCCCTATAGACTACAAGGGGGATTGACCCCCGCCCCATTGGGGGGCGGGGGCTGGCGGCCAGGATGAGACGGATGGCCGCGAGGGTTTGAGAGGAAGTAAAGTACCAACAACAGCACCACCCGTTGTAGCGGTGACATGAACTTAGGGGACTGCTGTAGCATCTCTTTGAAAACCCTCCGGATGAGTTCAACGGAGAGGTGAGTAGATGGCCAGGACTGCATCAAAAATCGCAAGGCAGCAGCAGCAGCAACAACAACAACATGAACAACAACGACGAACAACGCAGGTGTGTCGGGCAGCATCATGCAGAAATTCGTTTTATCGGGAGGCTTGGGACTTTTGGGGCAACGAATCCTGCAGCACATTGTTTCCTCGGGCCATGGATGCGTTCGCGTCATGATTGTCGACACCGCTCCCCTACAAGCAGCCAAGTCTGGTGGTCCTCCTACTGCTGCACCTGGCATCACCGGTGATCCTGCGGTTGGAAATGGTGCGAAATGCGAGGTTCTGGGTTCCTCAACTGCTCGCGGTGCTGCGGCTCCGATCGCAGACGACAGCAGTACCGGTGCCGTCTCGGTTGTGCGGGGAGATCTCAGCTCCAGCGACGTCGCGGCCGCGATCAAGAGCTTCGCCGTTGGTGATGATGGTGGCGGTGACCATGCCGAGACGACGTCGTCATCAACGCTTTCCGTTTTCCACCTAGCGTCCGTGATGAGCGGTCAAGGGGAGGAGGACTTCGGGGAGGCCCTGCGCGTCAACATCGACGGTGTGTGCAGTGTACCGCATGCGAATACATAGTCTGGAGTGGACGCCGCAGTAGGCAGAAGAACTAAAGTCTTCGCGCGAGATTCAACATTGCTTGTTTATTTTCGGACTCTTATCTGTGAATACAGTCGTAGAGTTGTGTTCCTGCAGTGAGTTTATGGATGGCATGAAGTAAGGCCGAAATGCTCCAACTTGTACGGCACCAAGCAAATTGAATGCTGCTCGAGGCCCGACTACAGTAAGTCAGTTTGTGTTGATTAATGGTGTCGTCATGGTCGAAGTTACTGCTGCCGCTGTGGCCGGGGTGGTATTATTAGCAGCGTGCAAGGAACGCGATCTTAGCGCCACCCTCTGTGTCTCTGTGAGCAACACTCGGCACTCCAAGAGGCCTACCTCAAGACCTTCAAGGCTTTATATTGTAGAAGGTCCGCCGTCTTGGCGTGGAATCTGCCGTGTTCTAGTCGTCTTCTACCACCTACCCTACTGTACCTTCTCCTGGTGAAGACGGGGTGAAGTACGATGGATTGTCGTAGTCGATTGAGATACTTATCGGAGAAATTTGTCAAGGCGCCCAAGGCTGCTTCAGCCTGTCTTGAACCTCGGCTTGCTCGAAGACATGCAACCGTAGCACCGCCGTGTCACGGCTACTGGTTACTGGTGTGTTAACTGCTGCAGTCAAACACAATGGCCTCGTTGGAACCATGAACGTCCGCGTGTTTGGGTCTGACGCATGGGCCTGTTGCAGTACAACAGTTCACCCCCTCCGGCTCAAGTTTGGGCATCGGTGATTGGTTCTGTGGGAACAATGCTCCGTCGCTTTTCCCCTTAGCGGTGGCTTTCCTGATGTCCATTTATCAAACCGTTGCGGTTGCCAACGAAGACGAAGTTGTGGGCTACACACAGCCTGAATGCGGAATGCGGCTGGCTGTAGATTTTTTGCCTGACCCTTCCATTGCACGCTATCGTTATTGTTGCCGTTGTTGCTTCGTCGTGTGAATGGCCAAGCCAGGCACAAGATCGCTCCTGGACACGTGTCGTCAGATCGGGGGCAGGCCACGGTTTGTGTTCGCGAGCTCTATCGCCGCGTTCGGCGGAGGCGAGCAAGTCACCGACGAAACGAAGCTCCTTCCTCAGGCAATGATCACCCTCACCCAAGTAGTGCGACGACCATGGCACCGGCATGGGACTACTTCGAATTAGAGAGCCAAACGGTCGCCCTCACCTCTCTCATATTATACAGCAGTACCACTCTAAGAATGAGAACACAGGGATGATCAGTACCGCACCCAGAGACAAAACAGTCAACACCAACCAGTGATCCTAACGGGACCAAGACCGGTGTATAGTACGAAACTCCTAAACCTAGGGATACTTGCCGCAAAGGCAGAGTGTAGCGGTGCCGGTGCTGTGGCACATACGCATTTCCCAAACAAACGCTGCTCGCCCTACTCGCGCGAACGTCTTGGCGCGTGGCCTGCACTTGACTCGGTCCGGGAATAGTCAACCTATGGCATGACCAAGGCCTGCGCAGAGCTTCTCGTCAACGATTGCACAAGGTAATGTTAAAGTAATTTAGGTGGCTAGCTTGTAGCGGCTTTGCCTTGAGTGTAGTGCAAGCACGGAAGATACTTGTAGCCTTTGCGGAGATCAGTCCTCGACGTAGATGCAAGCCCCCAAGTCCATAAACGACGCAAAAGTGTTGTGTGTGCCTCCATAGTCATGTCAAGACCCTGTCGTGGCTACAGATGTGCCCAAGTGTGTGGGCCGGGGTACCGTCGTTTGGACGAAACACGCGCATAGGTCAGCACTTGTGCATGCCGGCTTCAGCCTTCCGTTGTTGAGCCAACTTCGCGCAAGACGGCCGCGCGGTGACCTTCTCACGTAGAATACGTCTCCTCCTCCTTATTGTTTTCTTCTGCCGTACGCTTGGCATGAAGATCCAATTTATTTAGGTACATACCGCCCTAATTTTCGCTTGTAAGAAACATGCGTATCACTTTTGCTTTCTCCCGTCTCCGCACGGTTACCCCCCCGCCGCCAAGCTCTGCGCCCGTCGTCAAAGCGTCTTGATATGTGGTAAAAGGTTTTGCTTCTGTTCCGTCCGGTGCTTGTGTCTGTTGGTGTGTTTATCCTCCTCCCAGGAAAGGGTTCGTCGATGGCCGTATAGCCCGCCTGCCTACGGTCGTTGTACGCCCAGGTCCCCCCAACCCGGCTGCCACGGGGTGCTTCAGCTCGGTGCCGAAAGCCGTGTTGCACGTGAGGCCGCCGCGCTTGACGTGTCGCGACTTGCATGCCGAATGTTATTACGTTATCCCTTTTTGACGATGGTGATCGGGTGTAGGTGTGTTTGTCGTCTGGGAAGGGGCCGCTCGCTTTCAAGCGATCATTTGTGTGTCTGCAGGACTTGGTTGATGTTGTGGTAGCCAACTGCTGTAGATGCTTGGAGTCGCCCTCCGTTCGAACCCTGGGCACCATGCACCACTATGCACCGGTGTCGATTCATTTGCATTGAGCATGTCTTTTGGTGATATTAGCCACGATTGTGCGAGCATTCCGAAGACCCGCAGCGAAACAGTCCGGGCAACTCGAGCCAAGTGCATGCTGTCGGACCAAGAACTAACTCTGTGTACAGCAATGGTGGGCCTGGTTTGGCGACCCCTAGCGTCGGGAGGGAGGGCAGGTCGCTATTGTGGGTTAGCGGCTACTGGTGGTAGTGTAGCTAAGGTCAGGGGTAGCCCTGTCTGCGTGTGCCCTCCCTATGACCTGCCCCACGCCCTTTCTCGCCTTGCCTACACCGTACTGCTACCACCCCCGCCGCCGCCGTCGCCGCCACCACCACACCCACCAACGACAGGGGCAACACTTCATTTCGCCGGTCTCCCCGGATCTCCGACACGCCTGCGTCGGTCTCTGTTCGGCCGTAGATGGCTTGATCCGTTTGCATGACGCATCGGAAGCAGACTTTGGGCCGAGAGATCGGTCAGTGCACGCGTACACCCATCTGTACGATCGGTTTCGAAGGCTCCCTAAGGGGTCAATTCTCCTTCGTGCCTGTATACCGTGCGTAATGAAGCGATGCCGTGATTGGCCAGTCGCGGGACTGGAAATCTCGATGCTTTCTCACTCGGAGCGAACGGAATAGGGGACACAGGGGAAGGGTAGATCGTCGATGTTTTGTGCTTGTGTTTGTTGGCCTTTTTTCGCTGCTGTCGATGACGGATCCTTTTGGAGACAAGAGTAGGGGTGGAAATGGGGGGCAGCGCAAGACCGGCGGTATGGTAAACCATGCGGCAGGGAAGACCTTGGAAATATCATCACGCGTGCTCGCCAACAGCAGGGTTACGTTTGTCTCCAGGAATCTCCAGCCGTTTGCATTGCAGCCTGTTTGTGTTGCCCTCGACGCCTTGCTCCCAAGATCTCATCTTCCCGAAGTAATACCGTCGTTTGCCTCCTTCTTCCTCCGCGTCCCCTGTGAACCAACAGCGCAATCACTCTGCCTGCAGTGAGCCTCAGCTTGCGTGACCTCGAGGAGAGTGCGGCGAGACTCGCCAGAGAGCTAGGCAGACCTCCGGGAACGGTGAGTTGAAATCGGAATTACATGACCGGCATAGTAGCTGCTTCTAGCCCTTCGATACGTAGCTGAGAAGCTGAATATTATTCGTACGTATGGTATACCGTCGGTGACATGGCGTAAGACATCACCCCCCCCCTGTAGCGAGTGTTTCAAGGCTCGATTACTCCATGTCGAAGAGGATGTTCCATGGTTTGTATCACACGATACGTTCTCGGAACGCTCTCGACGAATCGGTTCCAACGCCTTCCGCCATTGTCGATACCACCACTATTGTTTCCGCCGTGGAGTATTCGCACTTTGAAAATCGGTCTAGGGGGTGTGGTTTTGCAAAACTCAAATAAATGCCGATATAGCGCACCATCTCACCGCCAGCGTGGATGCCAATCGCGAGGGAGTTCGTAGGCGTGTTTGCGTGTTTGCTATGTACCATGACACGCGCAAGTTCCAGCGACTCTCACACAAAAGGCACGAGACGCTATGATACGATATGAGACTCTCGGGGAAGGAAGCGTTGTGATACATACTTCGGCGCAGCCTTGAACACCCATCTTAGCTTGAGCCGTGTCCACGGCTATCGACCCAAAGTCTCCCCACACGAACACTGCCCGTTACATTCAGGAGCGACTTGAAACCCGTGCTGAGCAGTGTTCATGTTCGGCCTGACCCCTATCCTATCCTATTTCCCCCGCCCGCCCCCCCTGCCGTGATTTGTGCACCGGAAAGGTTTCGTATGAGCCTGATAGCGCTGTTGAGGCAGTAGTTAAGGCAATGCCGTCGGCTGTGAAGGCGTCCAACAGGACTGCTAACCTCGGATTGCTCGAGAGTGCAGGGGCACACGAGATAGTGGAAGACTACGTCAAGGGCGAGCGGCTGAGGTAGCCCCGCTCGGACGTGATGACCGCTTTAAATATTTTTTTTCACGTGTGTGCGCTCTATCGTGCCATTAGTTCATTGACTGAGGGCATCAAGGGTCAGCATGTAGAAGAAGTGATCAGGATGTGAGGGAGGGCAAGCATATGGATCGAATTAGGTGGTAGTCAGTGGACAAGCTCCCGCTTATGCACGGCATGCACCGTCTTCTTCCTACCACATGAAGTGGTCGTCACCTCTTGCTTTTTTCGATGTCGCTCTATGTATTCATTTTCATCGAAGGAGTGGAATTGTTTGCCTAGAAATGTCTAACAAGGAGCTTGCGTGTTTTCTGGTTGTTGCTACTTTGAAGAAGACTTGGTTCAGTCGGTTTGGTTCTGTAGAGTTGGACAATTGCGGATTGTTTTCACCATGTATTTTGTTCTGCGGCCGTCGTTCTCGATCATTTTCGATGTTCGAGTAGCGAGAGGTTGAAAGTCTAGTCTATGTGTATACAAGCGAAATTTGAGGCGCTGCAAGCGTGCACATCAGCTTCGCACCCTCACAAAATCTCCACCGATACTACAGCATTAGTTCCCGCCATTTCTGTTGATGATCCTGGGGAATTTACGTTCTCTTGAGAAATGATGTGACACATGTATGTTTAGGTTGTAGATATCGGATCCATCGTCGTTTGCATACGTGCTGCGTGCATACATAGACTAGCTTATAGTTGTAAGCGTGCACCCGAACACACCGCAACTCCACCTTCTTTTTCGTGGGTGGTTGGTTGTACGCGTCAATCAATCCTGAATTTTGGGCACCTACCTGCACATTCAGCTGGCGCACCTCAACCTTCTCAAAGGGCCAAGTGCTACTGTAGCGAGGCGGAGTGGGCTGTGCGATTCATGTGTTGTGAAATCTTAATCTTTGGCCCTGGAGTCCAATAGTTGCGGCGCGGGGGACACGCGGTTGGCGTGTTGGGTACGTGCGGGAGTCATTGACTGCCAACTTCCGGGCCCCCGGGGATCCTAATTATACAGTCAATCACCGCGCACAGGCCGGCGACGTGCATGCGTGGGCTAGACACGCCAACAAGAAATATCAGGTGAGTAATGCTGTACGCGTCGTTTTACCCGTACCTCAGATTGTTGGCGGCAAAGCTATGGAGCAATGCGGCCACGGAATCTACTCTTGCTCTCAGGGACGCGGCGCACGATTCCGCATCATATCTACATCCTCCCACACCGCAGCCAACCCATTCCAGTTGTGTTAATAAGACAAGGGCGCGAATTCCATCATAGTCTAACTGGTGTGCTTGCGGTATGATGTAGCTAAGTTGGAGAGTTTTGCTCACGGTTGCCGAATCAGCTGAACTGCTAGTTATGTTCAAAATACAGGAGAACTCCGCCGTATATCGGATAGGAGTGAGAGCCCGGGCGGGTAGCAGTGTTGTTGCAGACTACACGTAAATGCGGGGGGACTCGAGCAGAATCTAAACTGCTGTTGTACTTTAGCAGATACGAGGCGTTCCTTCTCTCTCACTATTGAATCAAAGCGTGTTGATTAAGCACACGTGCCCCCCATCCCCCCCCCTCTCTCTCTCTCTCTCTCTCTCTCTCTCTCTCTCTCTCTCTCTCTCTCTCTCTCTCTCTCTCTCTCTCTCACTCTCACTCTCACTTTCTCTTTCTCTCTCTCTCCCTCTCCCTCTCTGTCCTACCTCCATCACGATAGATCCACGAACCAACGAAAGCAGAGGGCCCGAGCCGGCCAACCACACCAGGTCCTACAATTGTATGGCTCTTCGAAATTCCATCGCCTCGAGAATGCGCGGGGCGGCGACGGCGTTGTGTAGGTTGGCAATAACAGCCGAACGCCAGGTGGCACCGATGCGACTACTGCGGTCAACGACTGCACGGGGTGAGGGGGTGCAACCGGCCGACACATCTGCAGAACATGTGACCAAGAAATTTGGAGATCCTTCGTTTTGGGAAAGGGAGGTGTGTTGTATCAAACGTTAAACGTTTGAATTGAAAGGTACTGCTGCGCGTTGATTGATTATGCTGCTGCAATGTTGAGCCCAACAATTCCGGTCTCTTCAACGTTCTACGCTTCGAGAATTGAGATTTTGGTGAGAGATCAGATAATGTTGCACGTTGTAGAGAAACGAAGCAGTTTTGCGACTGTCGGTTGTTGTAGATTTGAGGTGATCACTTGCCATCAACCTCATCGTGTTGCATCTATCTAATATGCTTTTACGAGTGTTGACTTGGCGGCAGCTGGACCACGACGTATGTATGACTCGATCAACTTCTACCGCAGTACCGCCGCTCGCTCGCGAACTAGGTGGTTTTGGCGAGAGGTCTCCTGTTGTTGGTGGTGTGCTAGACTTGTCTGCTCACTGAGAATCTTCACGCCTTTTCGTTTCCCGTCCCAAACATCCCAAACATCATCCGTGCTCGTTGGTGGTCGCTGCTCTTGGCGCCGCACATCGTCACAACGCTACTATACAGTAGCCTTGCTTACGAAACCGTGATGTGTACGGCATAAGGCTCTGCTGCTGCGTGCACCGCCTTCTTTCCGTACCCTAATGGAGCTCGACATTAGTCTGGTTGCCCTTGTTCTTTTACACCATGTCATACACGTATACTACCCGAATATCTGTTTGTCTTGATTTGTGGGATGGGGTGAACGTCGACCACCTCACTGTGGATACCCGCCCTGTCTTCGTTTTGTTGCTCTCTTTCGCTGCACGTGGTTCCATCGGATGGCATGTCACGGCACGGCTTTCCCTCGGCAGTACACCGGCCCCCGAGGTCAGAAGGCATTCGAATGGTTCCTGTCATACGATGGAGGGTTGAAAGAATACCTTCTTCTGGTATTGGAGTCATTGGTGATGATGCCCTCCCACTCTCGGTGAGATCGATCACCATGAGCCATGACCGGCCATGAAACCGCCCAAAACGCAAGATCTACCAGTCGGAATTAAGATCCGAAGGTGTTCGCATTGATGGGGTAAGGAGGTCACCCGGGGGAGGGGGGCATCCTTACGACGGATCGGTAACGATCCTGCCCACGGACTAGGACTACTTGGAAATAGAGAGACCGCTGAAAAGCTCACGTACAGTATCTACCTCCCGTTCTCGTACCGTTGGCATAGCGAAGGGACGAATGTATCTGGTGCTTGCGTCCAGCGGCGTGCATCGCTTGTGTGTGTACGGATAGTGAGAGAAAACGCGACACGCATACACAGGATTGATTCCTCACGCACCTCCTCCCAATAACAGCTGCATATGGCCAGTCAGACTGAACTCGAAGCCAGTGTGCCATGATCTCTCATTCCCGTCACGAATTTTGGCCAAACGTCTTGTATGGACCCCTTCATGTATTACCAGACCAGGCAACATTCGTTCCCCTCAGCCCCCCCCCCCCCCCCGCCCCCAAGGACGTCTACTATAACGCACCACAGTGATCTTTTTACAGGCCGTCTTTCTCCGGTCCCCCCCAACCCCGCTCTCCAAGAGAAAGCCACAGACTTCTCCACGTTGGTTGTGGAACCAGCGAAGTGGGCCCCAAGCTAGCGGAGGAACCAGCCCTGTCGTCGCTTCACGTGACGGACATCGACTCCAGCCCCACGGCCGTGAGGCTAATGAGGAAGCGCCACGCGACTCTCGGCAACTACGAGTGTCGCGAGGGGGATGTTCTCAACCTTGATTTTCCGGCCGGCCGCTTCGATGCGGTCGTGGACAAGGGGACGCTGGACGCCCTCCTGTGTCGAAGCGCTGAGGACGCCCTAGCTATGGTGTCTGAGGTGCATCGGGTTCTCCGCAAGGGAGGCGTGTACGTCCAGATTTCGGCGGAGGACCCCGAGGCGCGCTTGGAACTGCTCACGGAATGCGGCAGCAGCTCGGGGCGTGGGCCATGGTCTCGCTCTATCTTCAAGGAGCTCGGAGAGAGTAAGGGATCGACGGCGTACTATATGTACGTCCTCGTCAAGTAGTGTGATTAGTTCGGATGTGTGTTGCTGTCCGATTTAGAGGGGAAGGACTCATAGCCCGCGCATATGCTTTCGTGTTTAGTCGTTTTTGGGTCTGCATGAGGACATACATGCCTACAGCGATCTTGGGAGCTGCGAAGTGCCTGCCATTCCGGCAGTCAACTTTCCTTTCCTTTCCTTTCCTTTCCTTTCCTTTCCGACTTTGGTTTGTGGAAACCCCGAGGATATCCGACGAAGCACGTTCGTGTATGTAGTACTGCTGGCTGTAATTTTCCGTTTGTTTCCTTACGGGCGAGGTGTGTGTGACCCCTTGAGCGTTGTTTGTCCTTGATGGCCCTATTTAGCATAGCGTCCTGCTTGGTGTGTCGGTTGATGATATTGTTTTGCTGCAGCCGGTATGCGGGGCTTCTACATTATATCTTCTTCGGTAGTCGTGCGCTTGATTCCTGTTGGTTTATCCTCGGCTTGGAGTGTTAATTGATCGGTTGATATTCAGCACCCCCTTAAGACATTTCCCGTAGTACGTGTAGACTGTTCTTGTTGCTCGAGGTGTGGACGCCTGAGGTTTGATGTTTGTGCGACGTCTCTTCGGAGCATCTCTCCTTCCGGAGTGGTTCCACTTCTTCTGTCATGGGTACTGTGAAGGGTTGGGTGGGTGGGTGGGCAGACTTATTGCTTCTTTTCTCCTCCGTGTTTTCTCGGTTCTCGAAGGCAATGGAGAAGATGAAAGCAGCGAGAGAAGTTGCCCGCACTTTCCGATTGGCTCAATCTGTTCAAGGTATTTCCGGGTGACAGAAAATCCTTGGTATTCGCTGCTGTTGTCGGGGTCACCGGCGGTGGGTACTACTTCGAAGTGTTCCAGTACCATTGTACACACGCATTACCATGCGACGCCAAACGTACGTCCAAAGTGGTGCCTAGGGGACCGCGGGTTGTTTCGGACCGCTTCGCTTACAACCTTAAAAACACGCCCGCGGTGCCGACATACCTTTGTCTATTTATAGTGCATGTTCCTTGGGTGGGGTCTACTGTACGTGCCGTGACAGATGATCCCTGCTGAGTGGAAAGTATGGCTGTACACATGTTCGTCCCCTCAAAACCCCGAAGAAAGTCACTGGTGGCGTGTTCGTTGCCCCTGGGGTGGCTCCCACGGGTGAACCTGTCCGTCTCTCTGTAGGTGCGCCCCTGCCACCTGTCTGTCTATATCTTGACCCCACCACAAAAAATAGATCTAGTGGTGATGCAGGTTGAAAACGACATGTGTAGACCGTAGTTCTGCTGTTTTGCATCTACAGATATAGTGTACTATGTGAATACATTTGTACTGTAGTCTACTGCTAGAAACAGAACGCCGTGTGTGGTGATGGTTTGTGTGTCCGGCCCAGTTTTTCTGGCGCCAGCCTATACACCATTCATTGACGTATCAGCCCGTGGCCGGATATTATAATGAATGGTGGCGTCCCATATGTAGGGCAGCTATGATATAATAGGTAGTAAATACAGCAACATATGCATACATGGGAGCAGTCTTTTTGCTTATACAATTGTCACAACACATGTATACCTCTCGTGTTCCTCTCAACGTCCGGATGGGGGCCGGTGGAAGAGAGCACAGAGAGAGAGAGAGAGAGAGAGAGAGAGAGAGAGAGAGAGAGAGAGAGAGAGAGAGAGAGAGAGAGAGCACATCCACCGGAAAAATATACGACACCCGATCCCCGGAAAACGTACACATGAAAACGCCGTCCGAACTCTTCTCTCTACAAACCCACAATAGATAAAGGCGGCACGAAGGCACGAACGGGTACACCGAGCACCGGCCACCCAGACCATATCATCTCGTGTGTAACTTGCGGACACCATGCGTCGACACAAGCTGGTGAGTAGCACTAACCTTCCGTCTGTAGGTGGGCTTTGAACCGTTTCCGTTGTTGATTGGTTGATTGAGATTTCAAGCTTGTAGCTGGTGGGACAGCAGCAGCAGTGTCTGAAGGTGCTGCTCTGGTGCACGATGCGCTCGAACGCAGACTCATGGAATACATGAGCGTCATGACGCAGTTCAAACCCATGTATGTCGTTGTGTTGTAGGTTCCCGACGGTACAGCTTTTTGTCAAGACCAGATTCTCTTACAGTAATTAGTACACTTGTGTCCTCTGCTGCTGCGTGGACGTTTGGGTGGATTTTCAAATTTGAAATTGGTGCCACTTGTGTCAACGCAGGACCACGTCGAGAGACTCGCAGCAGTAATTATGACTACCGCAGTACATCGTTGTAAACACTATGATCGACGCTACATGTAGATTTCTCTACTATACTCTATGGTGCCTCTAGACATGGAGATCTCCGACGCATGACCGCCGCTTCCATGCACTTTGGCGTGATGCACGCCCAAAATCTATCTATACTGTAGCGCGAGGTAGGACTCGGACTGGGTATTTTACCGCTCGCTTGTGTGCGTATTTGCGTAGTCTACCCGCCTTTTGTTCCGGAAACGACGCATGCATTCCACGCGATGACAACAACTCATTTAGATGCAAGAAGTGTAGAGTATTTCCATGTCAGTTGGAGATGACGCGTCTTTCCTATGGTTTGATACTTTAGCTCAACTGGCTGAGGGTTCTGCACAACAAATTGCCTGTCGCATCCGAATCGTGTCTCTCAACAGCAGTACATTGTATACTAGTGGAGTCAAGATATTGCCCCCGCTTCCACCAGTTTGCGTCTTCCTTCTCCTCTTCCTCCAACAATCCGGAATGCCCTCATTTCGTTGCCCGTGGAATCGGTGCACACCTGCTGCATGCTACGCTTGTTGCGGCCGCTAAAGAGAGAGATGGTGTGTTTATCACGACCTAAGATTAAGATTAGGATTCGAAGGAGGACCGCCTGCTCGCCCTACCGGCAAAGCACAGTGGACTCCATGACATACTATGTAGGCAGGGGGGCATGACGTGCCCCCCCCCGGTGACTCACTACAGTAGTGCGGGAACAATTTTATTTTTTCTCCATCTCGCGAGGATCGAACATGACGACGTCACTGCCGGTAAATCCAACCGTCCGTTCCGTCCACGCTCCGCACGAAGACCCACTACTACTACAGTATTATGCTACACTTCCATAGAAGCTGTTATGGGCTTCCATGGAAGCTTGTACAATACGTTAAAAAGTGTAGGTACAGCTACACAGAGGTACAATAGTCGGCCTCTCATCTGTTGCCGCTGTTCTCCTTGTCTCCAGCCCGACAATTGGCAAGAAGACACACGCTTCGACGGCCCAGAGCACTGGGGCATAGAAAAACGGTGGAAGAGCCTATTCCCCAAGACTGGCTTCAAGACCAAGAGCGTCGGTGGTATTGTTGACACTAGTAGGGACAAGGATGGCGGCAGGAGTCGGGCAAAGGGGACAAGGAACGCGACGGTGGACATGACCGCCGAGGGAGGCGATGACACCGTTACATGTAGCCTGCAGAGCGGCGACGATCATTTCGCCAACTTCAATCAGCCAAGTCGTGCGGCTCGAAGGACAGTTCCCGAGACGGCGCCAGAGGACCCCGAAGAGGAGATGCGGATTCCTTCTTACAGGAGACCGAACGCGAAAACAACGGCAACTAGCGGCAGCAGCATCAACACAAGTAGTATCGGTAAGGCACCCTTATACGAGGACGAGGAGCCGACGACGGGGCAAAGAAGGTGGAGAATCCAGCCGAGAAGCACGGAGCCAGCGTCGAGCTCCCGTGCTGGAAGTAGGGGTGAGTCGAGAGACACGGGAAAGGCACTACTGCTGTAGTTCCACCCGGTGGTATTCGTGGCTTGGTGTGGTGATACTTGCCATGATTGCCATGCTTGTCTGGTAAGAACGGTGGAGCGGGTCAAAGGTACCGTCCCACGTGATACATGATGCCATGGTGGTACTTACCAATAGCATGGGATTGTCTCAAACGGCTTACTTTTCGTACCCCCGGGGGCGGAGGCAACTTTCGCGTTGGCGAAGGGGTGTCGATCAAGGCGAGTTCATAAACCTCCTTCTTGTGGTAATACGCAGCTGTGCCCCCACGCACACACACACGAATAGAAAACTGTGACGCTTTCCCGACGAGCAGTGAACGGTAACGATCGGTCTTGGTAAGGTTATTTGGTGGCGTTTTGGGTGGCGAGATTCCATGGCAAGCAATTCGCGGTACAACTCAGCCGATCGAGGCGTTGGTAGAAGAAGTGGGATTGCGCGTGTTACGCGGTTGATTGTGTGTGTCTGTTTTCGGACCCTGTTCTTTCATCACTGCACTCTCTGCATTTTCTGTACGGAAATGTCAAAACGTGCGTGCCTGGTGCGTCAACCAACCTTATCCTTTCCATGAAAGCTGCACGGCCATGTCTACCCACGACCCCCAATTTTCCGAGGTTGATCTTCTTACCCCCCTCGCCTGCTTCCTCGCATGTGTCTCCCTATGAACACAACCTCTCCTGCGTTTTCTTACTCTCTTCTCCTTGCCCCCGCGACATTTCCACCGGATCCAAACCCCGCCTGTGCGAAGCTCGTGATTCGGTGCTGCTGCCGTCTTCTTCCGAGGAAGAGGAAGAGGAGGAGTTTGACGAAAGCGAGGCCAACATCACGGGCCACGAACGGAACAACTCCCGTTCACCCATCCCCCGTCCCCGCGAGCACAAAAACGGCGGGGGCTCCGATGAATCGCCCCCATACCCCCTCCCCCGACACAGCAACAAGAAGGGGAAAGGCAGTAGGTGCTCTCCAGGGGGTGGGGCCGCAGCCTTCCCGTATGGCGACGACTCCCCCTCGAGGCAACGACGCGAAGAGGAGATTGAGTCGTCTGGATCGGAATCCTGCGGCGGCTTGTCGAACTCCGACTTTGACGGCAGCGAGGGCGAGGGTCGAAAGCCATCTTCATCCTCCCGGCGGCTGTTATCTTCTTCTTCTCTTTCTCGCCGCAGGGAAGGGGGCGGGGAAGGGGAAGGAACGCGACGTACCAACGGGGGCGGGACAAAAGGGAAAGGGCGTGTCGTTCGCGAGGGTGGTCGGAGGCGAAGGGGATCGTCCAGCCACAGCAGGATGGGCAACAACACGTCATCGAGCCCGATCCCGGGTTCCGCGCAAGGGGCGCGGGCTCGCTCGGCACCATCTGGCAGCAAGAAGGCTCGCAAGGTTGTGAGAGCCCAAGGGAACGAGCACGGCTGGATCGCCAAGGGTGGTGGGAGCGGCGGTGGCGGTAGCAGTGGAGGGCGAGTGAGAAATCCGGTGCTTTCGTTTCAGGGTTCTCAGATTTCTATGCGAAAGAACAACGAAAGAAGCCTGACGCAGTCCAAAATCAACTTTCCTGTCGTATTGTAGGCTATTGTTGAGTGAGAAGGGTCGCTTGGTTGAGAGAGGATCAAGATGAAGCTCAAAATTACCACCGACAAAATTACATTGACATCAGAATTGAGAAGGGAAATTTGGTGTCACAATCATGTGGAGAGTTGTAGGGTACCTGGGGTGTTCGAATTCGAAGGGACATTGAGACCGTAGTTTCAGTCGGGCAAATTTCAATTAATGAGACTGCTTCTTGCAGAGGGCCATATTACTATTACTAGCGTTGTTTCGTCGGTTGATCGAGAACGCTCCCGCCTTTGGTCAGGCGCTCTTTGTAGTGGACGCCACCAGGGGGAAGAGAATTGTGTACAGTAGAGGAGAAAGATGTTCGGAGGAAGTTTACGACACAGCAAGGAGTCAACAGGCCAGTTTTGGCATGCAGGAATCCTCGAACGTCTTGATTTTTTTTTGTAGATTATTTTTTGACTTGCAGTACCATACAACAGGGGAAGGGCAAAATGCGAGTACAAGGTTGGTCATGCGGTTGTGCCAGACCGTCTATGGCCGACATGTGGCAGCTTGGCCAATGGCACGCCGTGGCAGGCAGGCTCTTGCCTGGAGGACAGCGGTGTCGCAGTCATTCGTGCCCACCATTGTACGACACGCCATTTAGGGCTTTCAGGCTTGCCTTGCTTCCGTAGGACAGATCAGAACCATAGATCATTCAAATTTAGCTCTGTTGAAGGGTACTTCCGTTCGTTGTGTTGGGTAGGCCATGGGTGATCTGTGTTGTTTGCTCAATGATGATCTGCGTAGGACATCGGTGATGGATGCATGTTTGCCCGAGGTGATCTGTAGACATGGGCGATCGGCGTATGTTAGCCCGAGTGGTCTGGGGATGTTTTCGCGAGGGTAATCAGTAGGGTTGAATAGTTGAGCTAACTCACGGTTTGTCCTGTGTGCGCATGTTTCCCTTGTGGCTGGCTTTCTCTCGACATTTTTTACTGTAAGACCCAAAGGCACAAGTGTTTAGATGCACGCAACATGCAACAGTCTCGCCCAAGACATTGCACCAATCCTTTGGTTGTTGTTCCTCCGTAACGCCATTCATCCAACCGCCACATCTGTCTAGCAGTCGATGTACTGTACGGCGCCGCACACACAGCGTCAGCATCGGCTGGATTTGGAGGGCCGGCACCTCAGAGAGATACATCGCACATCGCACCTGGCGTTGTATGCGAGCCTCCCTCCATCAACAACTTTCACTCCAAGACGAGAACCATCAACCAAATGAACTGTGTTTCGATTTCAATTATTTCTCTAGACTTAACCAAATATTATCTCCGTCCAACGCTGGGCCAAGCTGAGCAGCAAGGCCGCCCCCCGCGCCCCCCCCCACCCTGCACGGGGTACTTGCTACAATGGCAGCCTTCTACTCCCCCTTCTTCTGCACCCAGCGTGTGAGTAACCTTACGCCGTATCCAGTGGCGCCTCCCGCTTCGTCTTTCCACACTGGCCCGGCGATGTCGAGGTGCGCCCACGGAGTCTTGGCAAGAGGTGACAAAACAAAACAATGCGTGGGCCCGGGGGGGGGGGATTCGTTGAGGGTAGGGAAGAACCTTCCTTCAAAGGTAGCATTTTGACCTCGCACAGCCGCTGGCTAGCTTTCGACATAAAAAAGAAATGGCATACTGTATGGGGTAAACATCGGTAAGATGAATGATTGCAACGACTCGTCCAGGCATGCAGTCGAAGGTCGAAGGTGGTAAGGTGGTGCTGTGCACACAAAAACTACGGTAGATGAAGAAATCGTGCAACGAAAAGATGCACGACGCCTAAACGTTAGTCTAATCCGTATCCCGTCAACCGTCCAGTCTATGCGTACTGTACAACCGAAACGACGGGAAAAAAACAAAATGAGCACCTCAACCTCCTTGTCGTACGCCGACAACGACGTCAGAACCTGAGCCTATATGGACACTACCAGCGTCCTGCCCATTCTCGCCTGGCCCCTTCTAGGCTTGATGGCATAACCCCACTTCACCTTCTCTACAAACTCCTTGAGGAAGAGTGCGGCTGTGATGGACGATCCCGGGCGTGCACCGACGTTCTTAAGGTCGGCAATCTTCGACTTGACCTGGTCGCCGTACTCAGGTGCCAAAGGCATGCGCCACAGCTTCTCACCAGTCTCCGCGCCGACCTTGCACCGAGACGTCACAAACGACACGGTAAGGTAGGCAAGTTACAACGTAATTAGTGATGTGAGCAGTGATGTGAGCCTGCGGGTGGTGTGTGGAGCAATGGCTCGCATTACAACATTGCTTCGTGAAACAACGAACGCACGCGCGATATGATTGTAGCCGGTAAGAAGCGGGGAGATGCTTATCTATTGGTCACATCTTCACGGGCAGAAGGACGGGACGCTGTAGGAGAAATAGCGGCTACCGCAAAAACGGTCAAGCAAACAACATGGCCCAATCAACTCAAAGGGCCGCAAGCAATAGCTGCAGCAGGGGAGCGCAATACGGGTGACAACCATCCTTCGCGTCGCAAAACACGCATGTATGTGCACGACGAACTGGAATGCTCTAGCCTATTGCCTCTTGCACGAAGTATGCCATGCGGCGGACGTGAAACTGCCAGAATAAAAAAGCAAAGACGACATGTGACGTCACATCCATGTCGTAATTCATCTTACATCGGTGAGTTCCTTCGCAAGGGTCTCGTCGGAGCTCCACATACCCGCATAGTCAGTCCCCAGAGCAATCTGTCACGAGGGATGGGGTGAGAGTGACAAAGAGAGACACAGGGAGCGAGAGGGGGGAGGCGAGAGACAGAGGGGAGAGAGAGGGAGCGAGAGAGAGAGGGTGGGACACCTCTGAGTGAGGCAACGAAATAATGCCCAATGCGGATCAGTTGGATTATCCTTGAGTGGTTTTGACTCTCGTGCTGTATTCATTAGTCAAGTCAACCACCACCGTACAAACATGTGTCGTGTTAGGAATGAAGACCAGCCACCGCTCAACTGCTGTACCTATCAAGAGCTGCACGCTTTGGTTCATTTTGACAGCCTCGAGCATCTCAGCTATTATATGTTGCCTAAAGGGTAGTGCAAAATAGTACAGCCGTAGACCCCGGGCAGGTTGTAAAGCTCAGGTTCAACACACCACAATACACCTAGGGGCATTGCCATCGCATTAGCTGGTGTCCACGACATCTTGACACACCGACGCCGCCCCCTTTCACACTGCATTTGCCTTTGACTTCTAAATCACAGTAACTACGGCAAAAACAATATTAATCGTGCCGACTGGAAAGGATGTTTGAGCCAAACCAACAGTGGGAATTCGCCCCCCCAACCCCCCAACCTCCGTCTCTGCCCCCCCTCTCTCGATGGTCGATGCCTTCGTCATTGGAGGCGAGTGATGCGAGTGATGCGAGTGATGTGAGTGATGCGAGTGATGCGAGCGTGGGCTCACCAGACAGGCACCCGTGAGCGTAGCGCTGTCGATGATGGCGTCCACCCCCAGCTTTTCGGCGAAGACTAGTGCGTCGGCTAGTGTCAGTCGCCCCTCGGCATCAGTGTTGAGCACCTGGTTTAGAACCAACGCAACCACGTACGGCACACGGCCCGTGAAGAAAGGGACACCAACGCCAACAGCAGCTTTGGTCATCATCAACGCTCAACAAGGGCTTGGGCCGCGCTGTTAAGGCAGCAACACCAGCACCCATGGGCTCTGGGCACCACTACCCGATAGGCTCCAGCTCACGTACAAACATATCACAGGTGCAGTGCGCCTCAACGCAAGCTAGTGAATCAAAGACACAAAGAAAGGGCGAGAACCAAACGTGTGGAAACGGTAACCCAAACACCCCTCTTGGCGCACTTTTGGTCGTGGTGAGACAAGATCGAGTGCATTTCGTTCACCACAGCCAGACTGCATGCCACATCCCGAAAAATCATCACGGACGACGATTTCCCAGCAGCATCGATTATTTGCAGTGGTTTGTTCAGTTGGCTGGCACACTAGATTTACCTCACCTCGATGGTCTTCCCGTTGGAAGCGGTAAGGATGTCACCGGGACGCATGGCCTTCTCCGACACCATGTTCTCACAAGCGGCAACGATGAAGTGGGCCTCCACCCCGTCCGGCTTGAGCTGACCAATCGCCTGTCGATACCAGGCAAACACGGACGATACCACGGGTGTACGGCGTCAAAGCAAAGCACCGTTACGTACTGTTATAAATACTGGACAGGAGGGAACGTTGGGTACGTCGAGAACACCGTCTCTTGGCCTACTTGTACGATACGATACGATACGATACGATACGAACACGTGCGGTTCCATTAGGATGTCATGTGACGACGAGCTCCTGAGCATCATCAGGATCATCACAGCACAAGTGTCGGCGAGGCTGCAGGCAGTGACCGAAGCCTGCGATGCCCAAGTCATTTTCCCGCCCACCCTTGGCGAAAGGACGCCGAAGCCTTTTTCTTTTTGCTCACAGATGGGCGGAGTAAATGGATGTGATGTGAGCACAAGAAGGAAACGATCAGCCCATCAAAAGCAAAGGCTTTACAATTTTTTGTGTGTATTTCTTACCACGGTGTGCGGAGTCGCGCGCCTCTCCCGCCGACAGTTACACTTGTACATCTTACGCTGCGTCTTCCCCCGCCAACACTCGAACATCAATCCCGCGTATACGTCCAAAATGTATAACCTCCTTTTCCGTGACCCCTTTACTGACCCATGTCATCGACACCAAAGAAGACATCGATGGACAAAACACAATGTGTTGTGTTTCGTGTAAAATTTGACGCCGACGAGGCTTCACGCTGATCCCATCCCCCATGCCGACCTTTGCAACCCTAGTCACGCTTTTGATCTCCGTCCTCAACTTCAACTTCGTCCTAGCCCAAAGTATATTGATTCTGACCGCTTTATGCATATGATTCTGCCTGCCATTGTTGGTGATGATGTATACCGTACATGTAGTTTAATGTTTAATACCTTGGCGGCACCAAGGGTGCATGCAGACCCTCCCATGTCGAACTTCATCAGCTCGATCATCGACCCAGCCCCAGCCTGCAGCACACAATAGACAAAAAGACAGGCCCCACGGGGCGGACGCGAGGTGGGTGCACGTTTCAACAAGGGTTACATTACATTACAACACAAGAGGTGAGGTGGAGAGGGAGTGAGGAGAAAAGTCAGGGTTGATGCCCCTTGAGTTTATTTACGGTGGGCGAGGAAGGTTGTGTCAGGATGGGCCCTCTCTCTGTGGGTCCGCCCGTCTCTCTTCCTCTTCCTCTCACACGTTACCCCCCTGTCTATTCTCCTCACGTCTCTGCCTCTCTCTCTTTGAACATCAAATACATGGGGCCGTGACAAAACCAGCGTCAACCCTTACCGTTGAATGCATCGGCATCCATACGCTTGTGAGCGGGGGGGGGGTTATCTCCCTCAAAGCGGTGAAGAACTATAATAATACATCATACTGATACCTTAAAAAATCAAATATAACCCTGTGTTCGTGACGGTGCAAGGCTGACCTCGTTACCTCGACCACCGTGTACACGCCTTCGCCGACTTACTTACAGAGACACAGACTGCTCGTAACGCCCGAGGGACCAACGAACACGAACACGACTGTTAACGTTTGCTAAACAGCGAACTAGAGTGGAGAACAAGTAGTCCGTCCTTCAGACTCCAGAATGACAGCAAGGTAAGGCTAGCACAACAAACATATGTATGCATACCTTGATGTTGTACCCTCCCGAGTCGAACGTTAGCCCCTTGCCGATGAGTGCGACTTTCTTCTTTGGAGTCCCCGATGGCCTGGCTCCATCATCCACACCGACACCCATCACATCAACAACAGCCATTGAGAAACGTCAGACCGTCTGCACAAGCGACACAGTGCCAACAGATGGATTTCAACACGAGGTGGACAAACAAGGGCAAGCACTTTAAGATAATCAAGATAATCAAGTACGCCGACTACACTAAAGTATATCAACCCATCATCCCAAGTCATCGTCAACCAACGTCTAACAGATGGGGTTGCCAGGCAAACGTACCAGCACAACATGCGATTGTACAGCAGAACAGCGCCTATCAAGGTTAAGGCGTACTCTCTCGCCGTACAGTACACGTGCCTCTCCTGTTGTGGGTGTCAAAAGTATACCGGACAAACAACGAAGGGAGCATTGATATTGTTCACGGCTGCTCATCCGAGCTTCCTCTGGCCCAAGACTCAATCGCCGATGCTACAACATTAACCGACTTGCTTCTGCTACAACAATCAAGGGAGCGCCACATTCTACTTCCTCTCCTGTAGGTTCTCTGTCTCCTCTGAGTGACGCCTTTATCCCTCACGTGTATGCAAACGTGATGGGCTCTCAGATCTCACTTGTAGGTGAGGTGGATGAACTTGGGGGGGAACACCGCCCCCTGCGCCACTCCCATGTAGGCTCCCATGCCGAGGGCCACAATCTCCTCCTCCTGCACAAACAGTAACCATCATTGTTGAGCATAAATCATTGATATCATCGTGAAGTTCGCCATACTGCTGTCGGTTGTCATCCACGTCATCCCCGCCGTCGTTGAGTACCTAACAGTGACGTCATCACCATCCTTATTTGCCACTAAATAATGTCAGAGGCGAAACTGCGGGGCATCAAATCGCAGTATTTAGCATAATCCCAAACCGGAAGTACAACCACAGGTAACGGGTACGTGTATGGTCGTAAACTGTATCATCAGAGACAAGCGACACATTCAGCGGATCGTTACGCTCGCCAGGCATGCCGGAGTAGTTCGTTAGCAGACTAGACAACGACAATCTCACAGCCATCACGTTCACAGGAGGAAAAGAGCGGATATCATGCGAAGAGTCTGACACATCGAAGCACAAAACTAGTCGCTCAAGGCAACTTGACTGACAAAACAGAGTGGTATTGTAAGGGACAAATACACGTACGTTGTCTAGCAATGGCAATGACTGGCGCCACCGCGTGTAAGCATCCATCGGGTGGGAAAATTCATGTCACTGGTGCAGCAGCCAGACTACACTACATTACACTACAAGAGAATCACACTCAAAGGGGGCAAATATGCTTGCTCTTGCTCCCCTTGCACACAGACAACACCGCCACCGCACCAAGTCCGCAGCCAAAAAAAAAAAAAAAAACTGGCGGATACTCTCACGATCACCATTTCCAGTCATGCACAAAAAAAGAAGTGCATTCTTCCCTCCAAAATCGTTTGTACATTCCGGGTGTACATTAGCGCCCCAGCAGTGCCTGTGTATGCATGCATTTGCCCTTTCATCTCACCTCTAGAATCTCGCATTCCAACCCGTGGTCCTCAGCAATCTTAGCGGCTGCGTCAGCGAGAGCCCCCGGGGTGAGCATGTTGGGAGGGGAGTTAACGAGGTCCCGGCAGAGGCTGACCCCTGATGCCACCGCCTTTGCTGCGTCCAAACCCGCCGACTCCTGATTTGATGGCAGCAGTCAAGACAGACACCCGCCAATGCCGTAAACACGCAAAAGCCTAAACAGCAACAGGCGAGCTGCGCTATCACTCCCAACACCCACAAGCCTTCTCACTACAACGTTGATGCATGCCACAGCAACAAACAAAAGGAGCCACAAACCCCACACGATCGGCACCACAAAAAACTAGAAGTAGTGGTGTTGTTTCCTGAACCACCCTACGGTAAACAGCCGTACCTCCTCCAGGGAAACCCCTACCCTAGCATACGGCATTGCCTACTAATACTAAGTAATACTAATACTAACACTGATTGGGCCACTCCAAGGGCGGAATACCCACCACAGTTTCTCAGCAGCGGCAGAATTGTCATTGTTGTTTCGACCTCCGTCTTACGCGATAAAGAATTCAGAACTTCACAAGAGAACACGTCAACCAAATAGGGTACGAAGGAAGCATACGTTCGGTACGCTGAGGCTCGGAACTCGTGAACAAATGGTCAACCACCAGGCCCTCGTCTCACAAGACGTTCATGTTGACTTTGACGTGCGCGTTGGTTGACCTCTAAACATAGACAAATAAAGATATTCAGTTGAATAGTGTACCTCTCCCCCGATGATGTCGATAGATTGCAGAGGAAGGTCCTTCTTGTCCTCCTTTCGGGTCTTGTACCTCTGGTCGGCATACATGCCAATCAGTGCCCCCTGCCCAGAGAACGGGAGAGACAGGTGGGGGGGGAGGGAAAGGAGGGAGATAAATAGACAGAGGGAGAAGAGAGAGAGATAGGGCGAGGAGGCGGAGATAGGTCAATTTGGCTGCTATTATAGAGGTGGTTTTTCAACATTCGTACTTGTAGGTATGTCTGGCGAGTACACGACGCTAAATTCGTACCAAGGCTCACACCTGTGTCAGAGTCTGCGTGGAGCCTTCCCCGCACCCTTCAGGCAGGACGACCGCCATGCTCTTGCACTTGGACGACTTCGCCAACGCTGCCAGCTTTTGCGTGTTGGATCGTGTTGCCAGCGACAGCAAGCAAGCATTCCGGTGGGGCAAAACAGTGTGGGACAACAACAACAGCAGTAGAATAACGACAGCAGGGGGGGAATCAGAGGCATGCGCTAGAAGCACACATACATGTACACGCCATACGTGCCAGCGGACTGCAACGACCAGAGCACCAAGCAAAATAACAGGCTTGGAATCAACAGGGCACGGCATGGAAAATATGCCAGACTGCCGATCCAGAGAGCGTTTTCCGAGATAAACATAGTTGACGCCGCACTCGCGCAACTCCAATGTTGGCTGTCTACATACATTGCGTCCCCCAAACTGAAAATTAGAAAATAACCAACACAAGTCAAGACACACACACACCGCAGCAGTATCCACACTAACCGTGTTATTTCGAACAAAAGCGGCACATGAGATTGGTCCATGTTCCACCATCACTACAATATCACCGTCTTGCTATGTGCACCTGTGTGCCGATCGCTTCCAGTGACGCCGGTGTGAGTGAGGAGTCATCCTTCTTGCCGAGGCCTATCACCGCGACACGCTTCACGCCGCTCTTGGACCCCAGCATCGCAGAAACGGAACCCTTCTTCTCCCCCTGTTTTGGTGTTTTGGTGTTGTTCGTGTTTTGGTGGTAGTGGTAAACAGTTTCGTTTCGACCACTGAGTTTTGAATATGGAAGAACCTATTCAAGACGACACAGTCGATTTATCGTAAACCACTGGCCGCTGCCCAGCCGCACTTGGCCTATCCAGCAGGCGCCTGCTTGGAAACTGATTGTCGAAACTATATCCTTAAGTTGCCTTTACTCTCAGGGAGGCGTGCACGCAAGCGAAGCGTAACAACGATACCACGAGGTATGTGCTGTAGTGCTACTCCAGGTGAGTACAGGGATTGCAAACAATACTGGACCAATTTCGGAACGTGTTGACTGCTAACTTCTCCCCAAAGGGAATTGGTGACGACACCCCACGCGGTATCGTCTTGAAAAAGATGCTGAGAGCTATCATAGCTTCCTGTTGACACGAGACAAGACAGGCGCGGCATCCCTCCCCTCCCACCCCCATCACCTTCCCCTCTTTCACACACCTTGAACTCCTGCGAAGAGATCATGTCCGCCGCCGCCCCCTCCAGCCCCTTATCCGCCGCCGCGGCCCCGTCCCCCGCGAGCACCGCGAAAGCCTCCTTGTCTTCCTGCTGGAACGCCAGCAGCACCAGCATGTCCCCTTCCCAGGCGTCGGCCTTGCTCACGGGTGACACGGACACCGAGGCCTTGCTCTCCGCCGTGTAGCACATGTCGCCGACTGACAAAGGCGGCACGGGCGTCGCCGCGCTGCACCGCAACACCAAGGGGAGGGGGCTTGCTCACTATCATGCATGGCTCTAGAGCACTACCCTTCCGTTCGACATTTGAAACCTCAACACGGGCGGAGTCAGGATTGGGGGGGGGGAATAGGGGCGGGGATGCACATGTACATAAAAGATTTTGTCACTTTTCATGCTTCGGCGTTTCTTTCTCTCGCGGCAGCGAGTCTTTTCTCGCGGTTCTTTCTCAGGGGCACGCAGGAGGCTCGTTGGTACATTAACGCCCGTGCCCGGAGCTCGGTAGGCCTCCGTGGCGCGTGTGGTTGACGGCCAAAGTTGCGAAAACTGGCTCAAAACCCCGGGGACGCGTTCCGCGCTGACAAAGCCTGGCGAACCATTTCTGAAACCTATCAAACCCATCAAATGCGACGGTTTGAAACATTTGCCTCTTGCTTCTCCACTTTCATTCGTTCATTCATTCACTAATTCGATGATTCATGGCTGTGACTCTTCGTGTCATTGCATTGTCCAACAGCAGTACCCACGTTTACTACACTTCGCAGCGGGCCAAGTGTAGACAAGTCTGAGAGCATGAATCCAGCCACAGTGTTAAACATGTCCCATTTGTGGTGTTGTTTCGGCTTCAAGTTTGGTTCTCATCGGAAACCTGCCATCATCAATCAAAGACATCATGGAAGTCTGAGTTTTCGCTGCCAAAATATTGTCCGCTCGAGCTGGCTCCAATGTAGAACAACAACGTGCGCGATGTTTTGTGCGGGAATACAAGCGTTGTAAGATACACAGTCCCTCTTCGGGCAATGCGAATGTGGTCTTGCGTCGCCTGAGGGAGGGTAGACACTCACGGCCCGAAGGGAGACCTTGTATCCCATAAATAATGTCCTCAGTAGCTTTCGATTTCATGGCGCACCTCGTTCGTGACATGGCAAGTAGTCCAAGGTCTTCCAATGACTTTTCCCCCAACATTTTTTCGGCACGCCATTGATGGTCTACTGTTTACGAAGGAACTGCAACCTCTACATTGTGGTTCACCGCACAGCAACTGGTGGGCGATCTTAAACGACTTTCATGCCTGTCGCGGCAGCCATGCAACAAGGCTTCACGGCTGTGCGTCATGCACCAGATCGCGCCAGAAACAAAATCGATGCATGAGACGTGTGCTTGTAGTCTAGATAAATCAATCCTACTGACGAGCCACGGCACTGGCTGCTGTTGCCGCAATCGAAAACACTCTCAGATTCAACGAAAAACGGACGGCACCTGGAAAACCTCCGATGACTGCTGGCTGACGGAGATGGACTATAATACAAACACACAGACAAAGTATCCCGTATCATCAATACCAATCACAAGCCGTCGCCCCACAATGGCAATTGACCAGCCCGTAACACCCTCCAGAAGATCCATCGCAAGTTAACTAGTAATTTTCTATTGCCACACCAAACACACAAGAGTTGCGTACAGTACGCAAAGGCAGGCATCACGAGTACCGTGTACATCTCACCCACTCGTAGACATCATCGCCACGACCCCGCCCCCCCTCGTCGACAAGGCCGGCGAGCTGTTGGCGCCAAACGACACCGAGACCCTCGAAGCCGCGCGGTCAGCTGCAGAAACGGGAGCAGCAGCGCTACCCGCTCCTCGCCTGCCGTGTAGGACTGCTGCCGGAGCACCGGTCGAAATGAAGGCGGGGCGTCCGCTGCTGCTGCTGCCGCTGCTTGATGCGCGGGAGCCGAAGAAGGCACGAGCTACACTCCTAGATGACGTGCCTGCTCTAGCCTGGGTGCGCGGCGGAACCCGTAGGGTCAACACGCGAATGTAGCAGCAGTAGTTAGTGTTTCGTGTTGATACCAGCACACTGCCGTACTTCATAAGCGACGAAGGTACTCTGGTCCTGCTGTGATTTCAACGGGGGGACTATGAACACGTGGCGTTGGTTCCTGTTCGCGAAAAAAGGCGGCATGCTGGCTATCGTGTGATGCCCGGCATGGGAGAGCACGAGCCATCAATCTTCAAAGCCTTTTGACGTGTCTCCTTGATGTGTCAACTGCGGTTTCTAGTCTAGGCACTGCTGTGCTAGAGGGACAGGAGAATCAGATGAGAAACGGGGTGCCGTTGTGTGGCCGAAGGTCCAAAGCGAAGGCCCTGGGATGTACTCCCAAGCCAATTGTAATCCGGCAAAAAACTGCCGTTGTGTTGGCTGCTACCTGCTGTCCTCAGTGGTCTTTGGCTATATGTAAAAGATTACATCTCATAGCATATCGATGTACTGCTGTAGTACCCAAGTTGTGAATGTACCAGTTACCGTAAGAGGCGAGGAGATGCCCCCCTCCCTACCGCAGAGGACCGACTTTCCAAGCTCGACTTATTGCTCCACAACGAAGAGGGTGCGGAAAGAGCCCCATGTTTCTTACGGAAAGCCCTCGACGAGACGTGTCCAAACGCACCATTTTGTGTTGGTACAACATGGATTGTGAATCAATCAAGATTTTGAATTTGGTCTACTGTAGGGGGGGTGCAACCCCGCCGCTTGTTGCTAGATACACCAGTACCGCCGTATCCAGCAAGTGTCTCCTGAGAACCCACAATTCTTCCGATTTAGGGTACCAGCGGCCGCTGGTCAACCGTGGATGTCACCCGAATTCTAAAAGAGCGCATGCATGCTGAGACGCATCGTGGAAGAAAATACGGAAAACGTTTGACATTTCAACGCTCCCCACACGCACGTTGACGTTGAGTATGTGTAGGTCAAGCAGCGCTGCTGTGGCACTATGGGCACAAATTCGCGCACACCTTTACAGCCTCCGGGGCTCATCTGATACAGTATCTTGCGCGTTCAATGCCGGGTGGTCAGACGGTTGGTGGGGAACGCGCAATATCACCAGCAAACAATGGAAGGATGTAGACCGCAGCCCTAGTGTACATGCGCTACTGCTACCAGGTACACAGCAGTGGCCGTTTAGAAACATGTGCATCACGCGCAGCAGGTACAGGGTTCAGCAAGCAGACGACCTTACCTCTTGGCTCGCAAAGAGAGCAAGTGTGAGCGCACGACTCATGATTCCACTCATGCGTGCACGGCACGAATTTGATCTGGGCCTATGACACGGGGCTGGCTGGTCTTGACACACACTTGTTGCTGTGCTCCGAGCTGCTGCTCGGCGTGGATGGTAGGCACCTCCCGTAGCGGCACCGCAGATGTATACCAACCCCTTGATTTTACCATTCGCGGACCCCCCCCGGCGCAATCCCTGCACACCCCAGCAGCAGCAGCAGCAGCAGGCACTGCAGCAGGCTGCAGGGTGCCAGACTGCAGAGAGACAGCGAGAGGAAGGCCCACACCCTTAGTGTGTGAAGAACGAAGGAGACGATGCTCCGAACGGTGCTGGCAACGATTGCCCCAAGGGCAACGGCGGCAAGCAGGTCGCGAGCAGCCTCCGGTCCCGGTCGCTGCGCACCGTTTACGGCTTTCGCCACCAGACGCCCTTCCCCTTCCCCTTCCCGTTTCTCTCCTTCTCCTCAAGGAGGGCAGTCGCTACCACTCGACTGCGCTGCCGCTGTTACAATTAGGTCTGTTCCGAGGAGATGCTCTTGGCGGGAAATGTCTTCGGCCAGCGCGCACGTTGCCGCACCGGGGGGTGGCGATTTGGCTATGCAGGGAGAAGGGGGTGGGGAGGGACAGCAGGGGGAGATGGGCAGCAGTGGGAGATATGCTCGGGATCCGGTGACGGGCGAGGGGATTTGGGTGGACGAAGAGGATGAGGTTTGTGCGTGTGTGTTCGTGTATGATCTTTGTCTTGTAGGGTGGAGACCTATCGCGCCGGCAACATCGGTCCGGACGCAATGCTCACCATTATATTTGATTGCACATGAATATGGGCACACACCAAGGCATCTCGGTAAGTCAACCCGTCCAACAGCACTAGGTGCATTTTATGTAGGTCTACAGCAGTACCGGCTACGCAATGGTGCAGCAGCAGTGCGCCCTCATCAACGCCGGTTGACTAACGCCGGTGGCGCTGCATAGCGCCCGTGAACGTGCTGGGCACAAACTGAATGAGGAAGTCATTCTTACTTGAACAGCGCCGGTCGATTTGTCGGGCACATAAAGGCGTTCGTCATTGAGGACCCACGACAGCAGCAGTACAGCTGTACATGCAGTACTGGTGAAGTAGAAGACACAAGACACCCGACGTCGGAGGGGGCACACGACTGAGATGAGATGCAACTCAACAAGACCCACAGTATGCATAGAGCTTGTCTTGGCACCACGTAGATTAGTACCCATGTGCACGTAGATTAGCCTATAGCCTATGTGTCGCATAGGTACCCCGATGGGGACACGAGGCACGAGGCACAAGGTGCTCCTTCCTCCCGCTCCTCGTGTATTGAGCCACATCTGCTAGCTCGAAACATGCCGTTGGTCGATGAATACAGATCTCAGATTCAGCGTTCGTTTTACTGCTGTACGTCTCTCTGATACCGCTGTTGTGTGTGTGAGTGCGACCAATCGATCAATCCCCGCCGCATTCATTCCCTAAAGGATCAACGGAAAGGCGTTCGTTGGGGTATTGTACTGTGCATGTGGATTGAACAGTTCCTTTCAACTTTCCACACTGCCGCATACTTGCCCTATCGGGCAACCCACGATTTGTTCACTGTTCACTTGTACAGTGCGTCTGCAGGGCGATCCTTGCCAGTTTTTCCTAACCGTCCCACGGTTACCCCCCCCCTGCCGGCGTGCTTGTTCCCATATCCCGTGTGCCCCCTCGCCGTATCTCCCTTTCATGTGTCATGCGGTGGGATGCTATATCATCATCAACAATAGCCGCTAGATCTGGAGAAACCAAAGAAGGTCCAAAAGTTCTGCGGCAAGGTTATCTCGGACAACATGGACAAGACCATCAAGGTGGCTTACCATTCCCCTGTATCTGCGTAGTAAACTTGTTGACCTCGCACCGTCTGTTGTATCCGCTGTATCGCCCCCAGCTATCTCTCATTGAAATGTGAAGTGTTTTGCGGCTTTTACTTCAAACTGCTGATGTGCAGCACATGTACCGTGCTTGACCTGGGGCCATGTGTAGCACGGTAGAAATAACTGCGGGTGTTAGAGGTTGTGAGATTTCTTCAACCGTACTTACTGTCTGCACGCATTTTGAGCGTTCTTGATCGACGGATGGTGTCTGGTAATGACGCAATGGCCACCCACAATGATGGCGCGATGATGCAGGTGGCTGTCCCATACTGGTACTACGTCAGGCGACTCGGCAAGAGAATCATCCGGTACAGCAAGATGATGGCCCATGATGAGGAGAACAGCGCAAACGTAAGGAACGACCGTTTACCGATATTTTCGAACCGTGTCGCTCTCTTGTTGTCGCGTTTTTTGTACCGTTTCCTTTTTTATCGGCCTTCCGCCGAAGGCAGCAAGGAGGGCCTCTTACGCTTGGCTTGGTATATACTCGTAGTTTTTTTTTTTTTTCAAATCAGCCACTGCTGCGGCGTCTCGCTTGCAGCCGTGGTTATTGTTGGCAGCGGAGCCAAAGGACCAAGTGTCACCAATGGGTGGTGCAAGATGAAAGTATAAGGCTGGCAGCAAATCATGCGCGGTGCCCCCCCCATGTTTGACGGGGACAGCTGATTTTTTTCGGCAGTTGACTTGACACGAGGTACATGTGACCTTTCCCAAGCTCGACCAGCTGGCTCCCAGCTGTGACGTTTTCCAAGCTCACAAGCCACACAGCTGACTTGTTTAGATTCGAAGAACCCGGCACATCGCATCGAACCAGGAGGAACAATATGAATCCGTACACAGTCGCCACTCCTTGCTACGTAAGCAGAGTGGTCCTCCGGGCTGATGGTGTCGATACCAATGTTTCGTGCGGCTTCTCTGATGCAGGTCGGCGACACAGTGATCCTGGTGGATTGCCAACAGAAGAGCAAGAGAAAAAAACACACCCTCTTGAAGATCGTGCGCAAGCTGCCGAGGCTTGACGATATCTGATGGCAACGAAGGAAATTGTTACAATAGCCGTCTGGTGGGCGAGCGTGGACATGATGCTGTCAATCGCCATCACGGATCGTCTCCATCTTTTGCACAGGGCGCTCGTGCAGAACCCAAGGACAGCAGTCGCAGAGGACGTTGGCCACGATACTCTTGCAGTAGACTAATCGTTGCTCCCTGGTACCGCGGTATGCAATGGTTTGGCATCATTTCTGCCGCCAGGCGTTCAATGAGCAAGCTATCAGAGCTTCCAACGGTCGGGCAAGATAACAGCTTTGACAGCTTTGACGCCGGCACGAAGTTGCGGGGCGTGTGTGAATCACGCTGCATAGAACTCTAGGCAATTGAACTACCGTAATAGTCGGAGAGTTGGCACGGGCCGGAGAGATGGCACCGGTCGGAGAGATGGCACCGGGGTGCGATAAAAAACCCGAGAAGAGAACATTAATTCGATTTACGCACCGGAGTCGGTGAGATCGCACCCGGTGCGATCTCTCCGACCCCCAAATCCAAGATTGAATCCTTTTCAGCTGCCAGAATGAGGTGCATGTGCGTACCTTTTACACGTGGGGACGGAGTCAGCGGAGCGCCACTCCTTTACATATGATTGGATGGTCGCAGTTCACGCGGGACAGTTGTATTCATATTTTTATTGGCATGGAAGTTGCGTTGCCAACCGTACACTCAACCAAACACAACGTACAAGCCGCACCCTACCCCACCAGACACAAACCGAAGCCATTGTACTTCTGCGTACGTGATGGTATCCGTAGAAGAAGACCGAAACGAAAGCGGGAACCAATTAATGCCGTGTGTACTGGTACCAACTCAGATGCGCTATTTCGCCGCTTTTTTCGGGGTACAGTCGTGGCTCCGTTATTAGAGGGTGTTGTGACAACGGCTCTCCACCCTCTTGTATCGGTATAAGAGGGTGCAATACAACAGTTACTTATACCATGTGAACATGAAGTTTCTCATGGTCGGAGAGGTGTCCAGGAATTCTAACATGTCGTTAACTCTGTAGACTATGCGTTTTAAATGCATGCATGAACATGCACTTTACCTCCTAGTCAAATGGCTGCGTCAACTTGGCCGCGAGGCAATTATTCTCTGGAGATGTTTCCAGTCCATGAACTAAATACATTTAGCGCGGTCGATGCAAATAATAAAGGTAACCGATGAAAACACGTCAGTCTCAGTGCGGTTAACACAGAAAGAGCTTCGAAAGGCCAAGGTCTGTGATCCCATGAGGGGGTGCAAAATGAGGGGGGCTAAAGCTACTCTCCAGATAGACGGTAGCAATAAAATAGAAGAGAGCTGCACGTGTTTACCCAAGGCTACTACTTTGCACATGTGTTCGTTTCGGAGTGTTTTCATCATCTTTGCATCATCCTCCTTGCATTTGCCACCAGTTTCACCAAAACACCACTATTCCTTGGCAGCTCATCTCTGGTTTATTTATTCTTCCTGCGGCGTTTGTTGTGAGGAAGGTGCGTTTGTTTGTGAGTGAAAGGCGAAGTGTCTAACTTACAAGCCCCCTTATAGTGCGGTAACCCCCTCTATAAAGGGTCCGGGCTCTGCACACGAGGGTAACCCTACTTAGCGAGTCGAGTCCGTGACAACCGATTCGACCCTCTTATATCGGAGCCCCCTCTTTTAAGGTACCCTCTAATAACGGAGCCAAGACTACTACTGTATGTTGTATGTGTGTTTCGCCGCCTTTTTTCCGGCTCAGATATATATGCGTGTGTGTGCAGAAGACCGTGTGCGTGCGTGGGTACCAATCAATACTGTGGCAACGGTCAGGGAGATGGCACCGGGGTGCGTGCATACAACACCTGTGTGCATTCCGCACCGGGGTCGGAGAGATGGCACCGGTCGGAGAGATGACACCGGGGTGCGATAAAAAACCCGAGGAGTAAACATTTAAAAAACGATCGCACCCGGTGCCAACTCTCCGACTCTTACGGTACTACTGTAGGCAAATTCGAGAGCCCGAGGAAGAAGGCAAGCTGCTCCACACGGTATAGTCTAAAGACTTCCAAGTGGAGACGGGCCCTCTCTGCCCTGGTTGATGTTGACTTGCACGGGAAGTGTTCCGCAAATAACCAGGGTCGTTAGTGGCGTTCGCCGATGAACACGAGCCTTTAGCAGGGATCGTTGCCTTTGGTGTGAGCTGCCGCTCGGCGTTGCTGGGGTGCGAGCACTGCTATTTTGTCGAACTCAAGGTGGCGGGGTATTTTGAACACACACACACACACACACGATAACCGAACCTCGGTCGGTCCGGGTGGTTTAGACGACGACCAGGCAAGCCACGTCCACAAACACAGTGCAGCACGTCATGAGAACCTCGCAGTCCCTTCCCGCAAGCAAACGACAATGTGTCTTAGTTGAGGTATCCATACCCATCGACATCGTTTGGGCCATCTGCCCTCAAACTTGTGTTAATTTGTTTGTGTCAACTTGTGTTGGGAGCTTAACCTCATCGAGGGCATCGGGGCATCTTGCTCATTGCTCATACTAAGGGCTGTCTCCGTGATCGATCGCCTGACCCGCCATTCCATTGCACGAAAGCTTTTCGGAACAACCCCTTTTCCTACCTCGGCCACCTTATACCGCGGAGGTTCATTTCCATCACATCCGCTGCTGGCTTGCGGTGCAGCGTGGAGTGACGATGAGAAATGACACCCGCTGGAAATGGTCTAACCGCGAAGGCACGCAAAACATGAGTACGCCCCCTCCCCCGTGCGCTCAACGGATCAAAACAATAGGTTGACGCTTAGTACCTCGGGCTCGACGGCATAATGAAAGACCAGCCTAGCACACATGCCGAATGAATCCCTTGCACAACGCAGGCGCTTCGCGATTTAGCTCAATTTAAAAAGGCTCTACATACAACTTGAACTTTTTTCCGGGACATGCTGGCGCTTTCAGAGCAAGAAAATATAGACTTCAAACCTGTCTTCATCTAGTGTATCATTGGTCTATCTTCCTTCCACACGTAATTTCTCTTGGTGCGAAATCTCTATTGGTACTGGCTAACAACGTCTGTCTCTGAGAGATTGTCAGTTATTCTTGTTCGGGTCTTCCGACGTCTTGTTCATGAACTCCTCCGGTAGCACTCCCGGCTCGTCGGGCAGCTCGGACAAGAGCTTCCACAGGGACCCGAATTGCTGCTGCTCCTTAAAATTGATGTGTGCCCTACTCTCCGGTGTCAGCTCATACCTCAAACGGCCGGAGCAAGACAGCAAGACACCGGTACCAAACAGTCAAGCACGACATGATGGTGTGGACCTTATCGTCAGGCACGAAATGTACAAAGCGGTTCCTCGTGTAAATGTCGCTGCGCGTACCGATGGGAACTCTCGACGTATTTTTTTACTTGTGGCAGCGAGGATGTGGGGGTTCCACGCAACAAAATGCCAGATTCGTGATTGAACCCCAAAAGAGGTGCCAAACAGGTACCACATTAGGCAAGTCACGTCCCATGGTTCGGTAGCGGTCAAGCACGGGGGCAAAATAGCTGAGAGTGCCCGTATGCCCTGCTGCAATGCCGACTAATTTGTACATGTGATGCTTGTGCTGCAGTACTGCCTAGGCTATAGTCTAGTCTTCTTCTCACCAGTGTCGGAGATCTCGTCGTTCCGCACTCACATCTTTGAAAAAACGAGAATCCTGTCGCAAGACACCAAGAGAAAGAACGGAGGGTACGAAAAGGACGACTTATCAAATCAATCCCATCAACGTGCCTTTACCAGCTTCCACAGGATACACCAGTCTTCACCAAAAACTGATGCCATTACACACATAGGATAGCTTGGAATTCATGTACAAACCTTCGACGAGATATATATGTGAAACCAGATATGTGAAAGACGAAGACAGGGAGGGGAAGTGGGCAGCCAGAAAGGAGAAAACCGAGCTAAATGCTCTAAATTACACCCAACATACGCGACCGGAGCTTTCACCTTAAAAAAGACTCAGTCCGCGAATGGATGTGCCATGGGGCCCTACTCACAAACACGCGAAAAACACTACAACACCACATCGTCATGAACAAGATCAAGAAGCAAGAAGCAACACCGAACAGCACCGAAACGAGTAAGTAGGGTCAGGCCGACAGGTAGCCCCGGCTGGTTACATCTTGGGTGGCATACTCGTTTGTTCGTTTGGCGAAAAAAAAGGTCTGCACCTGCATGCCAGACAAAAAAGTAAAACACGATCCAAAAATGGGAATGCATCGCAACGCGTAGAGTAGCACTGCTGGGTGACCGTCGAAAGTGGTGGAGAGTTTTGAACGGACGCGCTGACATGTCGTGTGCCCCCAAACACCGGTACATAGTACATACCGTGTCCTCCTTTTCTTTCCGCTCCATGACGACAAAGCTGCCATTCTCTGGGTTAAGAGTCTCCTCGAAGTCTGCGATGGAGTACTGGAACCACCGCATCACCAGCTGCAACAAATGACCAACAGAGGACAAAAACACGCGAGAAAACAGACCGCCATCCATGAGAAACGAGCAACAACACCACAAACGCATTAAGCGAATAAGTCGGAAAATACTTTGTACATAAACTCATCCGACGTCGCGGTCGAGGGAAAACAGAAGAAGAAGGGCGTCTCGGTACGCCGACAAGATGGCGATTTCCTGCAAAAATGGTCGCCTGTCGTGTCCCTCAGATCTTCACGTTCACGTTCCCAACCTTCTCATCATGTCAACCCGGGGTGCTAGCATGATACGAGCCCCCAGCATCGCCCCTTCCCCTCCCTCCCCAGCATGGGATGAGAGATGAGATTTCTCACCAAGCGAAGGGTGAGGCCGTGCGTGACGATGATAACGTTCAGGTCATCTCTGGCAATGCTCTCGTTGGCGAAGTCTCTGAACATGGTTGCGATAAACGACGTCGCCCTGTTGTACACGTCCAGTCCAGACTCGCCCTGGGGAAATCTGGGCCATCGCGGCCGGCGGGAGGGGGGGAGGGGAGGCGTGGGGGATACTCATCGGGGGTACTCATCTCTTCATCTCTTCTGTTCTCTTCGCGGGGCCTACATTCGGGTACATCGTGAACCACCGCGTGAAGTTCGAGGCACTAGGTAAGGTTAAGGTGTGTTGCTAGGGCGGAACGGTGTCTTGTCTGTTGGGAACGAACACTAACACCACACTCAATATTAGTCTACGCAGGTTTTTCATAAGAAATCAAACCTAAGCTGGTGTTGGGGTTAGGGTCTGCGTGCCCCCTGCCTGGTCTTTCTTCGTAATAAACATGCGTAGGAAGTCCATCACACTCCACACTTAGCTGGCGGAGAAAAGTCACACACGTCAACACACAACACGTACCGGTAGTAGAAACGGCCGAAGCGTGCCCGCTCCGCCTTTGAGTTGACAATCGTAGCCAGGTTCTGGAAATTCCCGAACTGTTGCTCCGTCAGCCTAGGCTCTTCCCTAACCCCGACGATGTAGTTGGTGTCGAAGGCCTCCACCATCCCAGCCAAGGTCTGCAACGACATGACGAGCCCGGCCGCACACAAGCGCCCATAACACGAGAGGGGGGAGGCACGATGCATGGGGCAGGGCATGAGACGTTGGGGGGTGCACGAACAGCGTGGCAGTGGGCAGGAATGGAAGGAGCAAGGGGGTTGGACATCTCTCATGGTTTGCCCCGGTGTATTTCTGAGCCGTAATGTACAGCTACCACCCTAGACTTCTAGATGCCCTTGATAGGTTCGTTCAAGAGGGACAAACATGATCGTCATCGTCATTCGAGAGATGCATCAACATGAATACAGTACACGTTTGATTGGGGTGTCCGCCAGACGTGGCCAGTGATGACTCCGGTTGAGATACACTACGGCGGGTCAGGATCGGGATAAGGGTCGCTTGCACAGTACGACCGGCACCACGGCGACTTCAAAAACACAACTCGACGCGAGCATCACGGCCGTAACGTGGAGGTGCTTTCTGTCCTCGCCACCAACACTTTTCAGGACAAGGACAAACACATTCCCACGTTGTTCAACACAAAAGAGAAAATTCCACTCCATCCCCGTCGACTGCTGTGGTTATACAGTGGTACAGTATTTCGAACGGGCACTCTCTCTTTGATTGTACGTATATGTATTGCCTAACAAAAACCATTGGAACAGGCCCAGGGGAATAATATCCCCATCACCCGGGAAAGAGCAGCTGCATCCAGAATAACAGCAAACAAGGTCGTCCCCGGCACATGGCGCACCTGCTTTGTTCTGAGGTAAGGAGACGTGTAGATGAAGAGTGGCTTGTCTCCGATGTACTCCTTGATCTTCTCGCCCGCTTTCTGGCCCTCCCCGAACCCCTTCTTCGTCAAGGGAATCTTCCAGTCAGGGACGTGGACGTAAGTCTGGACGGAGTCACGACAGAGCAGCAGCGTGTTTGTGATTGATACAATAGGGTGGAGTTATTGTGGAGGGGGTGAGGACGGCCGGTGCTACATAGGTGTGAAGTGCATGACAAGGGACCACCGGACACCGGGCATATGTACGGCTTTACAAAGTACAGACGTTGTTGAGAAGCTCGATGTGAGCCCGGAACGCGAGGGAAAAGTCAAGCACTAGAAAACCGTTTCGGCACATACCGGCTGACCGGCTGAGCGAGACACACATGAACAGAGCCTTGGCGAGACGGTGTGTTTGTCCGATTGATTGGGTGCTTCGTGCTTACCGACTCGTCTCGATTCCCCAGGCTCTCCCCGTGGCGCACGATGATGATCCGCTCCGGCTTGACCACGCGTCGCTTGCCATCCCCACTGAAAAGGCCAAGGCTCTCCTGTTGTGAGGGCGGACCGCGATGGTATTGATACATACATAGGTTGGAAGAGCCGGCACTTAGCTTACAGTGGCTTCTGCTTGCGTTTGCACACTTGAGATATAAGCTTTACGCGTGATGGACGATTATCAGACGCCGAATATAACAACACAAAACGCCTGAAGCAGGTCGAAGGAGTGTAGAAGGGGTAAATGACACCGTTCTACAGGAGGAGGGTTCGTGACTTGCGGACGGTATACTACACGCCTCCTGCGATGCATAATACACGCATACAGAAGCAGCAGAGTGTGTTTTCCCGGCAGCTGGCAGACAGAAGGGACATGGTCACCTCATCTACCCTGTTTGAAAAAGCCTAATCAAAATGACGTGCATGAGCGCTGAGCAGTACATTGTTCTTTCGTAGAATACCTCTGTCACAGACCGTGCAAACTCGCAACTTGGCACATTACAACACATGAGAGTAGTCGCAACTGCACGCGATTTCCCCCGCTGGTATGCACAAGAGACCGATGCAAGACCAATCTGTATGAGGACAACTACTGTGCAGGACACCGAGCTCTGCTTGGTCCAACGCGTACCGAAACACGCTGCTCCTCTATTAAGCACATGGCTCCTGTGCTGTACCTGATCGCTGTGAGGAAAGTGCTGGCCGCTACCCCTTAAGAATCGACGCTGGTCATGAGGGTGGTGCATCCGTGCACCTGGACGATGCGATGCCTTCCTCCTGCTGCTGAGGGACGAATCGCCAACTTGAAATTGAAGTGGCGTGTGTCCCGAAGCAGCTCTACGAGTACCGAACCGTGCGTGGCTCCCCTTCCCCAGCCCTGACTTCCGTGTACAATCGTTGCCCCCAGCGACACGGGATGCTAACGCGAATGCATGTCTTGGGTGGCACGCTGGCGATACGGCAAACATATTTGTAGTCATTGCCCTTGTTGTTGATGTTGTCGGGGAACAGCCTGGCGTTTGCAACTGCCGCGCTTGTGATTGAAATCCCAACGACCCAGCCCTTTCCCCAAGACGAAGTCCTGCCTTTCGATCGAACATAACGGCGTGGTTCTGTGATGCAGATGGTGGCCTCCTACTCACGTATCACATGTGTTTTGTGCTGCATCGGCAGGTCGCACAGCTCCGAGCTCGCTCGAAGGGCGGGAGCTCCGCGGTTGGGAATATACAGCCCCGACGGGTGTGGTGGGCTTCGCGGCTACCCCTATTTGTTGCACGACCTACTTGCAAATAAAAACTTGCACGACTCGAACGCCTCCAGAACCACACACCCAGAAACCCTTTTCAAACTCAAAACAGCAGCGAAACACCACGCCACCAGGCCGCAAAGCACGCAGCGAAACACCACGCCACCAGGCCGCACAGCACGCGCAACACAGCAGACCACACAGCAGACATGTCCCTGATGGATCTTATAGATCTTAGCGGAAGAACGGTAGCTGACGATATGCATTCAGTTGTCGCCGTCGAGGTAGAGGGTGCATCCGATCAAGCCAGCCGAAAAACAACGGCAGAAGCAGCAGCAGCAGCAGCAGCAGCAGCAGCAGGGATACTCTGAGAGTGTGATGGAGGCCGCCGCAAAGGAGGGGCGTTGGAATGTCATCGTGGCATTAGTAGAGAGGGGTTTCTCATGCCGGGTGAAAAAGGCTGCGCCGTTTGATGAGCCGGGGCACCCCTTGTTCGAACGGTATATTTGTGAGCTGCCGCGTTGCGAGTGGCACTAAAATCTCCGGGGCTTGTCGTGCCAAGTGAATGAGTAGAGGGGGGCGGGCAGGTATGAATGCGTGCCGGGCCATGCATGCCGCATGGTTGGAGGGTTGCGGACACGTAAATTATTTTTCAACCAACGATAGATATTCGACGAGACGAATTCCCCGCTGTGCTCCGGGCAACCCACTGCAGCTCTCTCCTTGTTCGCTTGCGACGTGCGGTCGACGTGCGCTACAAAATGAACAAATCTGTCACAAATCTTGTTGCTTCATTCGGTACTTTCTAACACCTCGCCAAAGCTGCAGAAAAAACAGTTAAAGAACCCAAAAATGCTTTCTGGTCACAAACGACATGGATTTACAGCGGGGGAGGGGATCGAGACACAAAAAGTCGCCCCCCCCCCCCCGGAGAGCACGACGCCGTTAAACGCCTCGCTGTTTGCCCTCCACGACCAAACCTGGCCAAACCTGAACAGAACCCGTAGCTAGCCCAACAAGGCTCAAGTTCAAGTGTGGTTGGCCTGCGCTCGCCTCCTATTCTTTGCCCCGCCGTACTCCACGCTAGACTTCTCTCTAGTACCCTCACTTCTAGCAGCTGGTTGGCGCACAGCTTGTGGGTTGCCCAGTACAGCCCCCTGCCCCGAAGAAATCATCGCCGCGGCGTTCATGCTACTTTCGAAAGTCTGCACTATGGCACGCATAGTCTCAGGGGGGACAAGCTGCACCCCAGAGCTCACGGCCGCGGTGGCCTTCTTCAACGTCTCCACAAAAAGGAGCCGGCGGTCCTGATTACTTTGCCCTGTCTGCGCAACCCTCTGTAGCGTGGTCTCTATGGTCGTATTCTCCGGGATTGCTTGCCAAGTGTCACCCACCACTACCGTGGGAGGGCGTACCTGGTCGTCTCTAGACGTGCCGCTGTGGACTAGCGCTACCATCCACTGCGGCTTGCACTCTGGTGGCCAAGCCTCAAGTTCCCTCAGGCCCTGCTCTGTTAGCCAATGCCTGTTGAGTATGCCTACGTGAAATTTGAACTTCGGGCTCAAACGCATGGCCTGCCAAAAGTGCCGGCAACAAAGACCGAGTTCTTGGAGTGTGCGGCACGAACAGATGTGACTGCCATCCGCCATGCTGCAAACTATGTACCGCATGACCCGGCCGTCACGGCTTTCCATGACTACAGCGACCGTCTCGACGCCCACAATCAACTCGCCCAGGAACTCTAGTTTCCATAGTGCTTCCAAACGCTCGTCCCCCTCAAGCACTGCATTAGCACCACCACAAAAAAAGGCGGCGGCCTCCATCTCTATGGTCATGAACCGCAACGGCCACATCCCAAGTCCGAAACGGATCGGCGCCATGAACCTCTGCCCGAACCACACGTCGTCAACGCCCGGCATCGCCACAGTAGGAAGGGCAAGCCGAGCGGCGCGAAGGGCTGCCCGGTCTGCCTGCTTCTCGATTGCTCCTTCGAAGAACTCGAAGACGCCTTACAAAGAAGTCATCGCGCCACAAACTTTCTTCATGATCCTGTTGATACCTGGCGATGGTATCACGTGTGCGGGTCATGGTACGATGATTTTTTACTGAATTGCTAGGCGTAGATGAACGGCTGCAGCACACTACATAGGCCAGTGGAATAGGAGTTGAGGAGTTGGGTTGATTCCACACGTGGTGATCCCACGCGTCGGCGCGGTTGTCCTACAACCCCGCCAAGCTAAAACGCACGAAGCACAAACACGCTGAAATACACGAGGGCCCACCTTCGACTCGGCTGGACGTGAAAGACGATACACTGAACGTCGCACGGATGCACGGATACCAACCGAGCGCCCCCCTCCCCAGATATTTGAAATTTACTGCACTCAAGATGATGCAGAACAAGCCGTCGTGAACCTGGGAGTTGACAAAATAATCCTCAAGTAGATCGATCGGCAGTTGCTAAGACAATAAGAGCTTGACCACGAGAGCAGGTGCTCAGTTTCGAATCGTACACTAGAACCTAGATATGGTCGTTATTGGGTTCGGTTTTGGTCTACAGCAGCAGTGGTGAGGAGAACGAAACGAACCTTTCCTCCAGGCAAGGCACAGCAAGAGGCGCCTCTGTACCAGTACTACATATAGACTGGCGGACAGAACGAATGCCGAGCGCTGTAGAGTGGTAGAGTACATCATCGAGCATCAATCGCCACGACAAGACGCAATAATCAGCAAGCCAGGGTGCTTCTTTGCACCAGCCCTCATCCGCTTAATAGCTAGCCGCCAGAGTGAGTGGCGTGCTACGAGGTTTGAGGTTTGGGGCCTCGAGCTGGCAAACGATTCCTAAACTAGATTGCCCTAGATCATAAAACGAGCATGATGCCGCGATGGTCTCCTCTCGTTCGTGCACATGCCCCCGTCGGCACGTAATGACCCTCATTATTCTTTCCCACGATATACGCAACAACAAAGTGGCAACATCAAAACAACTGGTATGACACCTGTCTATTTCAAACAAATCTTTCGGGGCGGCCGTAGCCGTGCAAATCCCCACAGCCAGCCCCATGCATGGATACTAATACTACCGTAGCGGCTACAAGGAGTTCTGCCCGTGGATATACCGTCCTCCTATTTCTGGGCCCTTCCTTGTATGACTCTTGGGTGCTCGACTACTATTATAGCGACCACACCCTATCCAGCTTGCCCCATCTCTTATTTCGCCTCTCCTTCCTCGACCTTCACAGCCCCGCCACTTTCGGAAGCGCTCGCACCACCAGGCGCCGCATCGCCTTCCTCACCCTCCTCATCATCTCCCAACATACCCGGCACCAAACCATCGTCCGCGTAAGAGTCCTCCAGGACATGGTGGAACTTGGAGCACCTGAACATCTCCACCATCACAACCATCCTCTTGTCCTCCAGCACCTCCAGCTCCTCCCGTCGTAGCCTCTCCTCTTCGGTCTCGGGCTCTCCGCTTCCCCCCGCCACGCTCTCCTTCTCGCCAACCTCGCCCTTTCGGCTGGGGCTGTGTCCCCCATGTCTACCGGAAAGCGCATTTTCATCGCCGCCCCCTACGGCCGGACCGGCACTGCCTTCAGAGGCTATGTCTGTACCAGACCGTCCCGCTCCTCGATCGCTTCCAGCCACAACCTCGGTTGCCTCCGTCTGCTTGTCGTCCCCACCGCCGCCTCCCGGTGCCTCTGCAAGGCCTCGCTCATCGTCCTTGGCGGAAGAGCTTCCAGAAGAAGTTCCTGGAGGTTTGCTGCCATCGGAGGAGGTCTCGGAAGTCGGTTGCAGCTCGTAAATTCTGGTACTTACGGCATCAAACCTGTAACGTGAGCGAGCGGGCGGGGAGGGGGGATGGGGATCAAGCGCGAACCCCGGAGGTGAGGTAAGTGGACATGTTTACGCTGCACGTCAAGGAGCCCATTGTGGTATTCCGTGTTACCGTATACCGTTTCAACTGGGCTGCCTTGCAAATCAACGCCACAAAACAGACCAAACAAAAGGTTGCGTCTCTAGGCCAACAACACCCTTTTCACGAAGAAGGATAGTTGCTATCCTATCCATTGCGGTCTAGAAATGGGGCACTATTTCGTCATGAAAAAAGCAAGAGCCGGTTCTCCCGGAAGGACGAATACTCGCACGCACTTCTTGTGAATATCCCGGCACGGGCTGGACTCCAGCGTGTTGCAGATGCTGCAGGCTTGCGGGGTCCACCCGTCCTCGCGCTTCCCCCCTCCTGCAGTCGTGGTTCGGCAAACACCGGTCATGGGTTCGACCCAATCCGCCCGGCAGATGGAACCCGTGAGGGTGAGGGGCTCGTCGAGTTTGTTGTAGCTGCCCTCTTCGCTAGGGAAGTCCCTCTCGTGGGCTGAGAGAGGGGGAAGTAACCCTTTCCACGAATCCTGAAGCGTTCGTGGAACACACGTGTCGAGGTGAGCGACCGCGGCCATGTGTTGCGTGCGACTGCAGCGGCTTGTTCGAAACGAATCATAAATAAGGGCAGTGCTCAACAAAAGGTAGGGCACAAGTGTGTATCTACGTTGGTTCGCTTTTTCTTAACCCTGGAGATCGCAACTTTGAGACTCGGTGTGTTGATGCTGAAGCGCCAACACAGGGCTACACAAGGAAAAAAACTCCACTGCAAGATGTAAGCCGTACGTGTGGTTGCTCAATTGACAGCTCAACTCGGCGAGGAGAGGCGCGGTGGCACACCAGGACGGGTGAACAGTGGGGCCAGAGATACCGGTTCCAAATAACCGCCGAGCAAAACGGTAGACAGACGAGGTCGACAAGTTTCGGCACAACGAGCATGGAAGCACGTTGTGGATTGTGGCACGTCTTTGCAAGACCGTGTGCGGTTTGTCCGTCGCAGCTCCTCAGGTACCTAAAAACACGCGGAACGTGTGTGCCTGTGTTGATTAAACGACAACACTACGTGCTACCACTGTACAGGTTTAGTTCAACTCAATTGTTCCACACGTGGAAGCACTTCATTTTGCAATACCACTTGCTGAAAATCGAACTGCTGCAGTGCTATTGCTGTCAATAGTCTCTATCTGTAACCTACTCGGAACCACTAAGCAGGCAAGGTTCACAACACCTACGTATAACTCGACCACGACCATCACCTCGGCTAGTGCCCCGACCCGCTTGATCTGCTCGATGAGGACGGTGCTGCCCAGGGGACCCCCACCCACATCCCCGGGAGTTACATCCACGGCGCATGAGAGTGACGGCGGCTCCACAGAGGTGCCGGCACTCGACACCGAAGCCACGAGAGCGAGGCGATTGTCGCTACAAGCCTCGCCAGTCACCTTTCAAGAATACAAGTAGGGCGGTAACGGTAACCGTGGCGGGGATTAGAGGAACGGAGGGGGGAGGGGGGGGGGGGG